ATCTGCTCCGGAAACGAGGACTACTGCCATTTTCAGTCTAAATCAAAGTTGTTGCCATGGAAACTCGAAAAATAATTTTTTTTAAATCCCAAACTATCAAAAGGCACCACTTCACGACTAGATCTATCTATGTGCCAAGTTTGGTGAAGAAATATGGTACGGTTTTCAAGATCTGCTCCGGGAACGAGGACTACTGCCATTTTCAGTCTCAATCAAAGTTGTTGCCATGGAAACTCGAAAAATAATATTTTTTTTAAATCCCAAACTATCAAAAGGCACCAGTTCACCACTAGATCTATCTATGTGCCAAGTATGACGAAGAAATATGGTACGGTTTTCAAGATCTGCTCCGGAAACGAGGACTACTGCCATTTTCAGTCTAAATCAAAGTTGTTGCCATGGAAACTCGAAAAAGAAGTTTTTTTTAAAATCCCAAACTATCAAAAGGCACCAGTTCACCACTAGATCTATCTATGTGCCAAGTATGACGAAGAAATATGGTACGGTTTTCAAGATCTGCTCCGGAAACGAGGACTACCGCCATTTTCAGTCTAAATCAAAGTTGTTGCCATGGAAACTCGAAAAATATTTTTTTTTTACATCCCAAACTATCAAAAGGCACCAGTTTACCACTAGATCTATCTATGTGCCAAGTTTGGTGAAGAAATATGGTACGGTTTTCAAGATCTGCTCCGGAAACGAGGACTACTGCCATTTTCAGTCTAAATCAAAGTTGTTGCAATGGAAACTCGAAAAACAACTTTTTTTTAAATCCCAAACTATCAAAAGGCACAAGTTCACCACTAGACCCATCTATGTGCCAAGTATGTCGAAGAAATATGGTACGGTTTTCAAGATCTGCTCTGGAAACGAGGACTACTGCCATTTTCAGTCTAAATCAAAGTCGTTGCCATGGAAACTCGAAAAATAAAAAAAAATTTAAATCTAAAACTATTAAAAGGCACCAGTTCACCACTAGATCTATCTATGTGCCAAGTTTGGTGAAGAAATATGGTACGGTTTTCAAGATCTGCTCCGGAAACGAGGACTACTGCCATTTTCAGTCTAAATCAAAGTCGTTGCCTTGGAAACTCGAAAAATAAGTTTTTTTTAAATCTAAAACTATTAAAAGGCACCAGTTAACCACTAGATCTATCTTTGTGCCAAGTATGACGAAGAAATATGGTACTGTTTTCAAGATCTGCTCCGGAAACAAGGACTACTTCCATTTTCAGGCTAAATCAAAGTTGTTGCCATGGAAACTCGAAAAATAACTTTTTTAAAAATCCCAAACTATCAAAAAGAACCAGTTCACCACTAGACCTATCTATGTGCCAAGTATGACGAAGAAATATGGTACGGTTTTCAAGATCTGCTCCGGAAACGAGGACTACCGCCATTTTCAGTCTTAATCAAAGTCGTTGCCATGGAAACTCGAAAAATAATTTTTTTGAAAATCCCAAACTATCAAAAGGCACCAGTTTACCACTAGATCTATCTATGTGCCAAGTATGACGAATAAATATGGTACGGTTTTCAAGATCTGCTCCGGAAACGAGGTCTACTGCCATTTTCAGTCTAAATCAAAGTTGTTGCCATGGAAACTCGAAAAATATTTTTTTTTAAATCCCAAACTATCAAAAGGCACCACTTCACGACTAGATCTATCTATGTGCCAAGTTTGGTGAAGAAATATGGTACGGTTTTCAAGATCTGCTCCGGGAACGAGGACTACTGCCATTTTCAGTCTAAATCAAAGTTGTTGCCATGGAAACTCGAAAAATATTTTTTTTTAAAATCCCAAACTATCAAAAGGCACCAGTTCACCGCTAGATCTATCTATGTGCCAAGTATGACGAAGAAATATGGTACGGTTTTCAAGATCTGCTCCGGAAACGAGGACTACTGCCATTTTCAGTCTAAATCAAAGTTGTTGCCATGGAAACTCGAAAAAGAAGTTTTTTTTAAAATCCCAAACTATCAAAAGGCACCAGTTCACCACTAGATCTATCTATGTGCCAAGTATGACGAAGAAATATGGTACGGTTTTCAAGATCTGCTCCGGAAACGAGGACTACTGCCATTTTCAGTCTAAATCAAAGTTGTTGCCATGGAAACTCGAAAAATATTTTTTTTTTACATCCCAAACTATCAAAAGGCACCAGTTTACCACTAGATCTATCTATTTGCCAAGTTTGGTGAAGAAATATGGTACGGTTTTCAAGATCTGCTCCGGAAACGAGGACTACTGCCATTTTCAGTCTAAATCAAAGTTGTTGCCATGGAAACTCGAAAAATAAGGTTTTTTTAAAATCCCAAACTATCAAAAGGCACCAGTTCACCACTAGACCCATCTATGTGCAAAGTATGACGAAGAAATATGGTACGGTTTTCAAGATCTGCTCCGGAAACGAGGACTACTGCCATTTTCAGTCTAAATCAAAGTCGTTGCCATGGAAACTCGAAAAATACTTTTTTTTTAAATCTCACACTATCAAAAGGCACCAGTTCACCACTAGACCCATCTATGTGCCAAGTTTGGTGAAGAAATATAGTACGGTTTTCAAGATCTGCTCCGGAAACGAGGACTACTGCCATTTTCAGTCTAAATCAAAGTTGTTGCCATGGAAACTCGAAAAATAACTTTTTTTTAAATCCCAAACTATCAAAAGGCACAAGTTCACCACTAGACCCATCTATGTGCCAAGTATGTCGAAGAAATATGGTACGGTTTTCAAGATCTGCTCCGGAAACGAGGACTACTGCCATTTTCAGTCTAAATCAAAGTCGTTGCCATGGAAACTCGAAAAATAAAAAAAAATTTAAATCTCAAACTATTAAAAGGCACCAGTTCACCACTAGATCTATCTATGTGCCAAGTTTGGTGAAGAAATATGGTACGGTTTTCAAGATCTGCTCCGGAAACGAGGACTACTGCCATTTTCAGTCTAAATCAAAGTCGTTGCCTTGGAAACTCGAAAAATAAGTTTTTTTTAAATCTAAAACTATTAAAAGGCACCAGTTAACCACTAGATCTATCTTTGTGCCAAGTATGACGAAGAAATATGGTACGGTTTTCAAGATCTGCTCCGGAAACAAGGACTACATCCATTTTCAGGCTAAATCAAAGTTGTTGCCATGGAAACTCGAAAAATAAGTGGTTTTTTTTAAATCCCAAACTATCATAAGGCACCAGTTCACCACTAGATCTATCTATGTGCCAAGTTTGGTGAAGAAATATGGTACGGTTTTCAAGATCTGCTCCGGAAACGAAATGTAACGGACGGACGGCCGGACGGAAGGACGGACGGACGGCACCCATTCCTATAGCCCCCTTCCACTTCGTGGCGGGGGATAATAAAGTAAAATAATATTGCACTGCATTCACCCATAGGTTTTGCTTTGGTGTTGGAGTATTACTATGGTCAACAATAACTGTTTTTTTATTTTATACCATTGGATATTGTCACTGAACAGGACCCAAGCATTCCATGCTAGTCACAACAGCCAACGTAAATAAGGCATCGGGTGGGAAGAATGTGTACCGTATGTCATCATATTCTAATGACTGGGATATTTGCTCATGATATCTGTCATATATGTGCAATATATTTGCGATTATGAGCAGGTTGTAGCTGGATACTCGCAACAGGAACCTTGTTGCATGTGCCATGTGGTAATATGACGACCTCACCAATATTACCAGGGTGGTTTGAATATTTACCTATTTATTTCAGTATGTTAGTATTCTGAAGAAATGATAAAGCACAGTCCTGGAGTAGGATATCTTACATTCTCTGAAACTACCTGTCTCACATAGGCTTTAGTGTGTCACAATAATAATTTGCACTCGGGTCTTACCCGAATGTGAAGGTAAGATTCATGCTGAAAATAATTTGTTTTGGTCACAAGAACAGTTTTTTTACTCTTTCAGTAAACAAACATGTCTTGATGTGCTGACTAAAATATATCTGTGAAGAAACGAAACCTCCACGTTCCCACAACCCAGAACATTAAATCGTTGGTCTTAAAGACATAACAACTCTTCTGTATCGCGACTTAAAATGTTACTTAGCAAGCGTTTTTGTTGTACAACCATACTGCCAATCATGTGAACGTTATCTCTACAAAATGTACATATATTTTTCTGAAGCTAATATTTTTTCCATCTTAAGCATGGTTCTCTGTGATTTATGTTTCTCTTATTCAGATAACTCAAAATAATCCTTATCACAAACACTGTATTTGTGGGATAACCCTTATCACAAACTCTGTTCACTCTGAATAATGTTTATCACAAACACTGTCATCTCAGAATTATGCTTATCATAAACACTGCCCACTAAGACAAATTCTTATCACAAACTCTGATAACTCAGAATTATGTTTTCACAAACACTGTTAACTCTGAATAATGCTTATCGCGAACACTGTTAACTCTGAATAATGCTTATCACTAACTCTGTCATCTCAGAATAATGCTTATCGCGAACACTGTTAACTCTGAATAATGCTTGTCACAAACACTGTTAACTCTGAATAACGCTTGTCACAAACACTGTTAACTCTTAATAATGCTTGTATCTCTTACGGTTATGTATTTTCATCACAATCAGTGTGGTTCTATAGTGACTTTAAGAAGATTCTTTTTTCAATGATCAAGAACAAATCAAATAGGAAACACGAATTCTACTTTCTGTTATAATTTTCATCATGTCAAACCTATTTATTTAAATTTACGTAATAGTTTCATTCGCAAAACAATATATCAGATCCTATCCAAATGTGGTAATGTCAGTGTTATTTAGCTACTATTTCAAGAATGACTCATTTTCTCTTAACCCTGTGGGTACTGATTCCAACATCTGAACTTATGACCTTTAATTTTAGAAGGGTGTTTAACACATCACACAACACCTTGCCTCGATGAAAGGCTGAACATACCCAGATGCTTTACTATAACAGAACCCATGAAAGTTAAATAAATATATTTTACTTACATTAAGTGACCAAAGAACCTGAAAAGAAAAAATTGATGATATTAAAACACGGAGCAAATAGATTATGTTGTTTGATTTTGTAAGCGTATTTCAACAAGCCTAAAGACTAATCAGCCTGAGACAGAACTATCAATAGATAATCACCAAGTACACATCTTGGTTTTCCATTGGTTTGTTTGTCTGTTTAGCCAAAGCAAATGTCTTTCTGTTGACTCCATCAAACCTGTGTAAACATTAACAATTTCTATGTTAATGCATATAACAGAACAGAAGAGAACGCTCAAACACATCATGAACAGAGACAATGACCTCTTCCTCAAACTAATGGTTAAATCTTTCCTCGTTATGCTGAAAGATCACCTTTGATCCCCCTTTTTGTTTTGTCAGTCTGAGGATCTTACTATTCATAAGATCAGTTTGGCAATTTCAGCTGAAACCCAGTTATGTATTATATGCCTTGAAAAACAGTTGTACCCTCGGTACACGCGTTGCAAGTGTCATCGAATGTTTATACATTCTGACCCAAACCACTTGAACATTACAAACCTGTATTGTTGTTGTGTTATAGGTATAACAAAGCATTATACACACGTTTTAGTTTTATAAGGACGGATTACTTACTGACACAGCACACCTGTCCACTTGGACACTCTCTTGCATTTATGACTGCTGCGAAAGGACATCTACTTGTGCCAACACACGAGATGCCAGTTACAGTGCACGCTGAAATGGAGCGTTTTCATAAAAGACAATTCATTTTGTGAAGCTAAATGGGAAATGTAATCTTAATATATCGCTTAAACTACACAACAATTAATTTCAATCCCATGTTGAAGGATAAAACATGTTGAAGGATAAAAAGTAATGTTCATGGTTTTGATCATTACAATTGAAATACCCCCGCTGCAGCGAAATTAGTTATGGTTGGTTGGTTTGATGTTTAACTCCGCACTCAGCAATATTCAAGCTATATGACGGTGGTCTGTAAATAATCGAGTCTGGACCAGACAATCCAGTGATTGACATCGTGAGCATCGATCCACGCTATTGGGACACGATGACATGCATCAACCAAGTCAGTGCGCCTTACCACCCGATCCCGTTAGTTGCCTCTAACAACAAGCATAGTCGCCTTTTACGGCAAGCATCGGTTGCTGATGTCCTATTAGAGCGCCCTGCTCACTATTTGACTTGTTTCTTCTGTGTTTATGTTGTTCACTTGTTTGCATGTTTTCTGCAGATTGATGCAGCTTCATTTCAGTGATTTGGCAACACCAGCTGTAGAACAATCTTGATATTGGAGATATAGTGGTTGTTGGTTGGTTTGTTGTTTAACGCCGCACTCAGCAATATTCCAGCTATATGACGGCGGTCTGTAAATAATCGAGTCTGGACCAGACAATCCAGTGATTTATATGATGAACATCGATCCAAGCAATTGGGATCGATGACATGTATCAACCAAGTCAGCGAGTCTGACCACCCGATCCCGTTAGTTGCCTTTTATGACAAGCATAGTCGCCTTTTACGGCAAGTATGGGTTGCAGAAGACCTATTCTACCCCGGAATCTTCACGGGTCGGAGATATATTGATTCCTAAACGATTGAGCCTGTACTCCTAAGAGGCACCAAAATATAACATAGTAATGGCATGATTGAAGATCGTAGGTCGGGGGTATAAAATAACAGTTGAAATATATAAAATATACATATATCAAAATCAAACTTTGCACTGCACCTCTCCTATTAGTATAAGAAGTATTCCTTTAAATTTGAAAACAATCCATGTAGTGGTTCTTAGTTTCTAGGTTGCACCAATGTTGAAGTAAAAAACCTATTCTAAGTTCAAGACATTTAAAAAATCGTATTTTCTCAGAAAATCTACATATCAAGTAAGACCCGTGAAGATTCCGGGGTAGAATAGGTCTTCAGCAACCCATGCTTGCCGTAAAAGGCGACTGTGCTTGTCGTAAAAGGCGACTAACGGGATCGGGTGGTCAGGCTCGCTGACTTGGTTGATACATGTCATCGGTCCCAATTGCGTGGATCGATGCTCATAATCACTGGATTGTCTGATCCAGACTAGATTATTTACAGACCGCCGTCATATTGCGGGAATATTGCTGAGTGCGGCGTTAAACAACAAACCAACCAACCAACCAACATATCAAGTAAAACAAAGAAACAGCTGTATTTATTTCAGAAAATCAAAAAATTGAAATCAAACTTTTCACTGCATATCTCCTAATGATAAAGAAAGTGTTAATCAAGTTTGACTACAACCTATGCAGTAGAACCGGAAGAACGGATGGAAAGACGGACGGACGGACGGAATTCCTTGGTATAACTATATAACCCCGCCCTTTTAGGTCGGAGGTATAATAATACAAGAGGACAGTTACACAAACACACCGAAGACGAATACTGCTAAAGGATCAGCGCGATGAAAAACAACAAAATGTTGTGTCAATCCTGATACACAGCAAAACGTGTGAAATCCTGATAGATACAGGGGCGTTAGAAAATACTTTTGATGAGGATCTGTATATACAGTTCGGTAGTCCCAAAATGGATACAAGAAAGCGAGTTGACTTCTCTTCATATGGATCCAACGGTACCTTAAACACTTCAGCGCAGTTGGTGTTACCGTGAAGACAAGCACTAGCATACAGTGTCACACGTTTCAAAAACATGTGATTCCATCCACATGTCACTACTGTTTATACAAGTCGAATACAATCATGTTCGTTCAACTGCATTTAACGCAATTAGCCTGGATGGTGTGTATTCTCTAATATCCTCATTTTTATGCAAAGGATTGAGTGATTTTCAGAATTAAAGTGTAAATTGACACAATTGAATCATTTCTCTTTTGCCTGATGAATCATGGCTCAAATCGATAATTTCTCATGTTTTTTTCTACGAATAATAAATCCACATACGTTACATTCAATATCATAGATTACGTGTTAATATAACATGGTATTTTTTTTAAGGGTTCATGCAGTAGTATTTCAGCTGTAAAGTCAGATTTGAAAGTAAAACAACTTCTCACAATTGAACAAATCATACATCTTGTTGGTGTTCAAAGAACAAATACCTCATTCAAAGTGATAAATATAATATGACTGAGTGGATCCAGAAAATGAATCAAGACGACTATGTTTGTCACATGCAGCTAACGGAATCCGGTTGTCAGACTTGCTGACCTGGGTGATGCATTTCAGCGTGTCCCAATTGCGTGAATCGATGTTCAGGATGTCAATAACTGTATTGTCACGTCCAGACTCGATTATTTACATAACCTCCGTCATGCAGCTGGATAATTGCTGAGTCTCGCGTTAAACAAGAAACAAACAAATATTATATTTTTGTGCATTCAGCCGAAAACGTATATTCGGTAGGCAATTAAAATTATATGCAATGGTTCAAACCATTTACTGATTATGACAACCATTTCCGAATTACTACAGTTTATATTTTCTGGATTGTTTAAGTAACAATTGCATGTCAAGTTACCCGAGAAATATGTCCATCTACTGTGACCCAGCAGATCCTGAAAATGAATTAAGTTAACACAAATATTTCATCAAAAGAAAATATCTATTGGGTTGGTTGGTTGGTTGGTTTGTTGGGAAAAGACATGTGAAGATCCGGGATGGAATAGGTCTTCAGCAACCAATGCTTGCCGAAAAAGGTGACTATGCTTCTTTTAAAGACGACTAAAAGGATCGGGTGGTCAGGCTCACTGACTTGGTTGATGCATATCATCGATCGGAATCGCATGGAAATACATGCGGACAAGTTCAGAAGCGCTTGCTTTTACTACTTAACCATAGTCGGTGGACTTGACCATAGTCGACTGTATATTAATTCATACTACTTACGTTGCAGTGTTGTTGTTGCTATGGTCGTTGTTGCTAAGGTCGTTGTTGCTAAAGTAAGGGCATCTGAAACAGAACAATTGATGTCATGAAAATACAGCTCTATTGAAGAAATAAAGTTTGCTCTATCCCCATGTACAGTTTAATATGAAAATAGTTTTGGCGTGTACTATAACAGTTGAAGCAGCAGTGCACTTACGCCCGAGTGCTTTGACGCCATAATAGCTCAAGGCAAAACTATTCTTTTTTACAATATACAAAAGGGTAGAGCAAACTTTATTATGTTTCTAAGATGCTGAAATTAAGACGGATCTTGTGTTTTATTAGAGAATCCTGTAATGAGCGGCGCCCTAAAATCCACGAACAGGGCTAACTGACGGACTGTTCCATCTAATTGCCTGCACCCTTACATCAAGAGGCATATTTACGTTTTAAACACAACACAACACCACTAAAATGGGTTGTTTATTATTGATATAGGTCCCACTTCATTATCCATTCTGTGTGTGGTTACCAATAAACCCATGCAGCAATAAGACTTTTTTTAAATTTAACTTTTTATATTAATTTGCTTCAATTTTGTCACGTGACTCGAACCATTCTACAAGTGCATTGTGTGGTCGAACTAACATGTAAACATAGCCGAAGTTCGGTGTTGCTTGTTATTGTGAGCAGAGGTGTTTGGTACAAGTGTCAACTTTGTTTCAGCCACTTCTGTTAGCAGACTGCAGCAACTGCAAGCGATGAAATAGTGTGCTTACCGAGCTGCTTGTGCTACATGATACCGTGACGTGTAAACCAACGTGGATCTACGACCAGTGGCTAGTGACATGGTGCCCTTATGGGACGAACATGGCATAGGAAGAGCAACAGTAACCGTTTTGTTTGACTGATGTATATTGCTTAATGCCATATGCTGAGCAACAAGTGTACACGTGGTTATGAAACTTTTTAAGGATTGCTTATTCCTTTGTCCTGAGAGGCATACATAATTTGTAGGGCACGAACACCCGTCTCAGACATGTCTTTCACTCTTATATTAAACAATAACAGCTGACACATAACTTATGCTTAGGATTCACAATATGGCCAACTCAATGAACGAAGTAAGGATACGAATTTATGGATGAACAACTTCTTTATTACAATTTAAGAGGGACGTTTCGGTGTAGGTTCTAACACCGTTATCAAGCAAGTGAACCTTCACCGAAAACGTCGCTCTACATTGTTATAAAGATGTTGTTCATCCATAAATTCTTATCCTTACTTAAAACTCCAACTTCAAAAGGACTATCAAAGAAGTTAAAACAAAGAACATATATAGACAGGTTTATACATACAGACTAGAAATATGGCAAATTTCATTATATTTTAAAACAAATTACTGTTTAATGAAAATCAGTCTTTGGAAGTTCTCAAAATGACTTCCTTGACAGTCCGAACACTAAGGAGCAGGTATTCATAGGTATTCTACATATTTGTATTGATCGTTTAGCTTTCCTATCAAATTATTCACAATACCTTAATCACAGGATCATAAAAAAAACAAATCTCATAATGGAAATTTAATTCCTACATCTATTTCTTCTCACCATCAACCTTCCTTTGCACTGAATAGAAAATAGTTCATGCCCTGGGAAGAATGCCCATGTTTTGAGGTCAAACGAGGTCAGAATACTCACCAGCACAGCAAACCTGACCACTTGGACACTGGCGACCAGGAATAATTCCAAAGGAGTTACAGTTACTTGTGACAATACATGAGATTCCGGCATCAGTGCAGGCTGAAAGAAAATGTTCATCAATGGAAATAGATCTGTTTTCTCGTTCTTTGGCAGAAATGTCTTTTTCATATTTTCTCACTAATGTGTTAAGAATGTACACTTTTTCACAAAACAAGACATTAAATCATCTGTTCTTAAGTTTATGGATGACTCCCTTTTCAAAAAGTGCCATAACTACAAAAGGCTTAATAATGAATGTCAGTATGAACCTTCTTGGGAATGTGAGGAAAAAGACAAAAGCCCTGTATTTTTATATGCACTACCGTGCCTGAAGAATCAACACTTTTGTAAGATTCATGGGACTTTCATTTTCATGCTGGATTTTATTATTATGTCTTTCAACATAACAAGACCCGAGCCGGAATAGTTCTTCAGCAACCCATGCTTGTCGTAAAAGACGACTATGCTTGTTGTAAGAGGCGACTAAAAGGATCCAGTGACCAGGCTCACTGACTTGGTTGAATCATTTCATTGTGTCCAAATTGCGTGGGTTGATGCTCATGACGTCAATCACTGGATTGTCACGTCCAGACTCGATTATTTACAGACCGCGGTCGTATAGCTGGTATATTGCTGAGTGCCGCGTTAAACAAGAAACAAACAAATAAAATATCTTTGTGCATTCAGCCCAAAACGTGGTGTATTCGGAAGGCAATTAAAATTATATGCACAGATTGAAACCATTTAATGATAATGATACCCATTTCCGAATTACTAAAGTTTATATTTTCTGGATTGTTTAAGTAACAATTGCATGTCAAGTTACCCGAGGAATATGTCCATCAACTATGACCAAGCAGATCCTGAAAATGAATCAAGTTAACTCAAATACTTCCTCAAAAGAATATCTCTATTGGGAAAAGACCCATGAACAGCCGGGATAGAATAGGTCTTCAGCAACCATGCTTGCAGTAAAAGGCGACTATGCTTGTTGTAAAATGCCACTTATGGGATCAGGTGGTCAGGCTCACTGACTTGCTGATGCATGTCATCGATACCTATCGCATGGATCGGTATTGATGACAATTGAATGGATCGGACCCGTGAAGATTCCGGGGTAGAATAGGTCTTCAGCATCCCATGCTTGCCGTAAAGGGCGACTATGCTTGTTGTAAAAGGCAACTAACGGGATCGGGTGGTCAGGCTCGCTGACTTGGTTGATACATGTCATCGATCACAATTTATTGGATCGATGTTCATGATATTAATCACTGGATTGTCTGGTCCAGACTCGATTATTTACAGACCGACGTCATATAGCTTGAATATTGCTGAGTGCTGCGTTAAACAACACACCAACCAACAGCATGGATCGATGCTCATGATGTCAATCACTGGGTTGTCTCGTCCAGACTCTATTATTTACAGACCGACGTCATATAGCTGGACTATTGCTGAGTGCGGCGTTAAAAAAACAAACAAAACAAATCTATTGGGAAATACATGCTGACAAATTCAGAAGCGCCTGAATTTCCTACTTAAATATAGTCGGTGGACTTGACCATAGTCGACTGTATATTAATTCATACCACTTACGTTGAAGTGTTGTTGTTGCTAAAGTCGTTGTTGCTACGGTCGTTGTTGCTAAGGTCGTTGTTGCTACGGTCGTTGCTGCTAAGGTCGTTGTTGCTAAGGTCGTTGTTGCTAAAGTAAGGGCATCTGAAACAGAACAATTGATGTCATGAAAATACAGCTCTATTGAAGAAATAAAGTTTGCTCTATCCCCATGTACAGTTTAATATGAATAGTTTTGGCGTGTTCTATTACAGTTGAAGCACCAGTGCACTTACGCCCGAGTGCTTTGACGCCATAATAGCTCAAAGCAAAACTTTTCTTTTTTACAATATACAAAGGGGTAGAGCAAACTTTATTATGTTTCTAAGATGCTGAAATTAAGACTGATCTTGTGTTTTATTAGAGATGGGTTTAAAAAGAATCCTGTAATGAGCGGCGCCCTAAAATCCACGAACAGGGCTTACTGACAGGCTGTTTCATCTAATTGCCTGCACCCTTACGTCAAGAGGCATATTTACGTTTTAAGCACATCACAACACCACTAAAATAGGTTCTTTATTATTGAAATAGGTCCCACTTCATTATCCATTCAATGTGTGATTATCCATAAACCCATGCAGCAATAAAAAATTAAAAAATTAAGTTTTTATATTAATTTGCTTCAATTTTATCATGTGACTCGAACCATTCTACAAGTGCATTGTGTGGTCGAGCTAACACGTAAACATAGCCGAAGTTCAGTGTTGCTGTTTATTGGGAGCAGAGGTGTTTGGTAATGTCAACATTGTTTCCGCCACTATTGTTAGCAGAGTGCAGCATCTGCAAGACATGAAAAAGTGTGCTTACCGAGCTGCTTGTGCTACATGATAATGTAACGTGTAAACCAACGTGAATTGACGACCAGTGTCATCATGGGACGAACATTGCATAGGAAGAGCAACAGTAGCCGTTTTGTTTAACTGGTGTATATTCCTAAATGCCGTATGCTGAGCAACAAGTGTACATGTGGTTATGAAACCTTTTTAAGGATTGCTTATTCCTTTGTCCTGAGAGGCATACATAATTTGTAGGGCACGAACACCCGCCTCAGACATGTCTTTCACTCTTAAATTGAAAAACGTACCAGCTGTCACATAACCTATGCTTAGGATTCACAATATGGCCAACATAAGGATAAGAATTTATGGATGAACAACTTCTTTATTACAATTTAAGAGGGACGTTTCGGTGTATGTTCTAACACCGTTATCAAGCAAGTGAACCTTCACCGAAAACGTCGCTCTAAATTGTTATAAAGAAGTTGTTCATCCATAAATTCTCATCCTTATTTAGAACTCCAACTTCAAAAGGACTATCAAAGAAGTTAAAACAAAGAATAAATATAGACAGGTTAATACATACAAACTAGAAATATAGCAAATTTCATTATATTTTAAAACAAATTACTGTATAATGAAAATCAGTCTTTGGAAGTTCTCAAAATGACTTCCTTGACAGTCCGAACACTAAGGAGCAGGTATTCATAGGTATTCTACATATTTGTATTGATCGTTTAGCTTTCCTATCAAATTATTCACAATACCTTAATCACAGGATCATAAAAAAAACAAATCTCATAATGGAAATTCAATTCCTACATCTATTTCTTCTCACCATCAACCTTTCTTTGCATTGAATAGAAAATAGTTCATGCCCTGGGAAGAATGCCCATGTTTTGAGGTCAAACGAGGTCAGAATACTCACCAGCACAGCAAACCTGACCACTTGGACACTGGCGACCAGGAATAATTCCAAAGGAGTTACAGTTACTTGTGACAATACATGAGATTCCGGCATCAGTGCAGGCTGAAAGAAAATGTTCATCAATGGAAATAGATCTGTTTTCTCGTTCTTTGGCAGAAATGTCCTTTTCATATTTTCTCACTAATGGGTTAAGAATGTACACTTTTTCACAAAACAAGACATTAAATCATCTGTTCTTAAGTTTATGGATGACTCCCTTTTCAAAAAGTGCCATAACTACAAAAGGCTTAATAATGAATGTCAGTATGAACCTTCTTGGGAATGTGAGGAAAAAGACAAAAGCCCTGTATTTTTATATGCACTACCGTGCCTGAAGAATGCTCATCAAAACTTTTGTAAGATTCATGGGACTTTCATTTTCATGCTGGATTTTATTATTATGTCTTTCAACATAACAAGACCCGAGCCGGAATAGTCCTTCAGCAACCCATGCTTGTCGTAAAAGACGACTATGCTTGTTGTAAGAGGTGACTAAAAGGATCCAGTGACCAGGCTCGCTGACTTGGTTGAATCATTTCATTGTGTCCAAATTGCGTGGGTTGATGCTCATGACGTCAATCACTGGATTGTCACGTCCAGACTCGATTATTTACAGACCGCGGTCGTATAGCTGGTATATTGCTGAGTGCCGCGTTACTCAAGAAACAAACAAATAAAATATCTTTGTGCATTCAGCCCAAAACGTGGTGTATTCGGAAGGCAATTAAAATTATATGCACAGATTGAAACCATTTACTGATAATGATACCCATTTCCGAATAACTAAAGTCTATATTTTCTGGATTGTTTAAGTAACAATTGCATGTCAAGTTACCCGAGGAATATGTCCATCAACTATGACCAAGCAGATCCTGAAAATGAATCAAGTTAACTCAAATACTTCCTCAAAAGAATATCTCTATTGGGAAAAGACCCATGAACAGCCGGGATAGAATAGGTCTTCAGCAACCATGCTTGCTGTAAAAGGCGACTATGCTTGTTGTAAAATGCCACTTATGGGATCAGGTGGTCAGGCTCACTGACTTGCTGATGCATGTCATCGATACCTATCGCATGGATCGGTATTGATGACAATTGAATGGATCGGACCCGTGAAGATTCCAGGGTAGAATAGGTCTTCAGCATCCCATGCTTGCCGTAAAGGGCGACTATGCTTGTTGTAAAAGGCAGCTAACGGGATCGGGTGGTCAGGCTCGCTGACTTGGTTGATACATGTCATCGATCCCAATTGCGTGGATCGATGCTCATGATATTAATCACTGGATTGTCTGGTCCAGATTCGATTATTTACAGACCGACGTCATATAGCTTGAATATTGCTGAGTGCTGCGTTAAACAACACACCAACCAACAGCATGGATCGATGCTCATGATGTCAATCACTGGGTTGTCTCGTCCAGACTCGATTATTTACAGACCGCCGTCATATAGCTGGAATATTGCTGAGTGCGGCGTTAAAAAAACAAACAAAACAAATCTATTGGGAAATACATGCTGACAAATTCAGAAGCGCCTGAATTTCCTACTTAAACATAGTCGGTGGACTTGACCATAGTCGACTGCATATTAATTCATACCACTTACGTTGAAGTGTTGTTGTTGCTAAAGTCGTTGTTGCTAAGGTCGTTGTGGCTAAAGTCGTTGTTGCTACGGTCGTTGCTGCTAAGGTCGTTGTTGCTAAGGTCGTTGTTGCTAAAGTAAGGGCATCTGAAACAGAACAATTGATGTCATGAAAATACAGCTCTATTGAAGAAATAAAGTTTGCTCTATCCCCATGTACAGTTTAATATGAATAGTTTTGGCGTGTTCTATTACAGTTGAAGCACCAGTGCACTTACGCCCGAGTGCTTTGACGCCATAATAGCTCAAGGCAAAACTTTTCTTTTTTACAATATACAAAGGGGTAGAGCAAACTTTATTATGTTTCTAAGATGCTGAAATTGAGACTGATCTTGTGTTTTATTAGAGATGGGTTTAAAAAGAATCCTGTAATGAGCGGCGCCCTAAAATCCACGAACAGGGCTTACTGACAGGCTGTTTCATCTAATTGCCTGCACCCTTACGTCAAGAGGCATATTTACGTTTTAAGCACATCACAACACCACTAAAATAGGTTCTTTATTATTGAAATAGGTCCCACTTCATTATCCATTCAATGTGTGATTATCCATAAACCCATGCAGCAATAAAAAATAAAAAAAATAAGTTTTTTTATTCATTTGCTTCAATTTTATCATGTGACTCGAACCATTCTACAAGTGCATTGTGTGGTCGAGCTAACACGTAAACATAGCCGAAGTTCAGTGTTGCTGTTTATTCGGAGCAGAGGTGTTTGGTACAAGTGTCAACATTGTTTCCACCACTAGTGTTAGCAGAGTGCAGCAACTGCAAGACATGAAAAAGTGTGCTTACCGAGCTGCTTGTGCTACATGATAATGTAACGTGTAAACCAACGTGAATTGACGACCAGTGTCATCATGGGACGAACATGCATAGGAAGAGCAACAGTAGCCGTTTTGTTTAACTGGTGTATATTGCTAAATGCCGTATGCTGAGCAACAAGTGTACATGTTGTTATGAAACTTTTTAAGGATTGCTTATTCCTTTGTCCTGAGAGGCATACATAATTTGTAGGGCACGAACACCCGCCTCAGACATGTCTTTCACTCTTAAATTGAAAAACGTACCAGCTGTCACATAACCTATGCTTAGGATCCACAATATGGCCAACATAAAGAACGAAGTAAGGATAAGAATTTATGGATGAACAACTTCTTTATTACAATTTAAGAGGGACGTTTCGGTGTAGGTTCTAACACCGTTATCAAGCAAGTGAACCTTCACCGAAAACGTCGCTCTAAATTGTAATAAAGAAGTTGTTCATCCATAAATTCTTATCCTTACTTAGAACTCCAACTTCAAAAGGACTATCAAAGTAGTTAAAACAAAGAATAAATATAGACAGGTTTATACATACAAACTAACAAATATAGCAAATTTCATTATATTTTAAAACAAATTACTGTATAATGAAAATCAGTCTTTGGAAGTTCTCAAAATGACTTCCTTGACAGTCCGAACACTAAGGAGCAGGTATTCATAGGTATTCTACATATTTGTATTGATCGTTTAGCTTTCCTATCAAATTATTCACAATACCTTAATCACAGGATCATAAAAAAAACAAATCTCATAATGGAAATTCAATTCCTACACCTATTTCTTCTCACCATCAACCTTCCTTTGCGTTGAATAGAAAATAGTTCATGCCCTGGGAAGAATGCCCATGTTTTGAGGTCAAACGAGGTAAGAATACTCACCAGCACAGCAAACCTGACCACTTGGACACTGGCGACCAGGAATAATTCCAATGGAGTTACAGTTACTTGTGACAATACATGAGATTCCGGCATCAGTGCAGGCTGAAAGAAAATGTTCATCAATGGAAATAGATCTGTTTTCTCGTTCTTTGGCAGAAATGTCCTTTACATATTTTCTCACTAATGGGTTAAGAATGTACACTTTTTCACAAAACAAGACATTAAATCATCTGTTCTTAAGTTTATGGATGATTCCCTTTTCAAAAAGTGCCATAACTACAAAAGGCTTAATAATGAATGTCAGTATGAACGTTAACCTTCTTGGGAATGTGAGGAAAAAGACAAAAGCCCTGTATTTTTATATGCACTACCGTGCCTGAAGAATGCTCATCAAAACTTTTGTAAGATTCATGGGACTTTCATTTTCATGCTGGATTTTATTATTATGTCTTTCAACATAACAAGACCCGAGCCGGAATAGTTCTTCAGCAACCCATGCTTGTCGTAAAAGACGACTATGCTTGTTGTAAGAGGCGACTAAAAGGATCCAGTGACCAGGCTCGCTGACTTGGTTGAATCATTTCATTGTGTCCAAAATGCGTGGGTTGATGCTCATGACGTCAATCACTGGATTGTCACGTCCAGACTCGATTATTTACAGACCGCAGTCGTATAGCTGGTATATTGCTGAGTGCCGCGTTAAACAAGAAACAAACAAATAAAATATCTTTGTGCATTCAGCCCAAAACGTGGTGTATTCGGAAGGCAATTAAAATTATATGCACAGATTGAAACCATTTACTGATAATGATACCCATTTCCGAATTACTAAAGTTTATATTTTCTGGATTGTTTAAGTAACAATTGCATGTCAAGTTACCCGAGGAATATGTCCATCAACTATGACCAAGCAGATCCTGAAAATGAATCAAGTTAACTCAAATACTTCCTCAAAAGAATATCTCTATTGGGAAAAGACCCATGAACAGCCGGGATAGAATAGGTCTTCAGCAACCATGCTTGCTGTAAAAGGCGACTATGCTTGTTGTAAAATGTCACTTATGGGATCAGGTGGTCAGGCTCACTGACTTGCTGATGCATGTCATCGATACCTATCGCATGGATCGGTATTGATGACAATTGAATGGATCGGACCCGTGAAGATTCCAGGGTAGAATAGGTCTTCACCATCCCATGCTTGCCGTAAAGGGCGACTATGCTTGTTGTAAAAGGCAACTAACGGGATCGGGTGGTCAGGCTCGCTGACTTGGTTGATACATGTCATCGATCCAAATTGCGTGGATCGATGCTCATGATATTAATCACTGGATTGTCTGGTCCAGATTCGATTATTTACAGACCGACGTCATATAGCTTGAATATTGCTGAGTGCTGCGTTAAACAACACACCAACCAACAGCATGGATCGATGCTCATGATGTCAATCACTGGGTTGTCTCGTCCAGACTCGATTATTTACAGACCGATGTCATATAGCTGGAATATTGCTGAGTGCGGCGTTATCAAAACAAACAAAACAAATCTATTGGGAAATACATGCTGACAAATTCAGAAGCGCCTGAATTTCCTACTTAAACATAGTCGGTGGACTTGACCATAGTCGACTGTATATTAATTCATACCACTTACGTTGAAGTGTTGTTGTTGCTAAAGTCGTTGTTGCTACGGTCGTTGCTGCTAAGGTCGTTGTTGCTAAGGTTGTTGTTGCTAAAGTAAGGGCATCTGAAACAGAACAATTGATGTCATGAAAATACAGCTCTATTGAAGAAATAAAGTTTGCTCTATCCCCATGTACAGTTTAATATGAATAGTTTTGGCGTGTTCTATTACAGTTGAAGCACCAGTGCACTTACGCCCGAGTGCTTTGACGCCATAATAGCTCAAAGCAAAACTTTTCTTTTTTACAATATACAAAGGGGTAGAGCAAACTTTATTATGTTTCTAAGATGCTGAAATTAAGACTGATCTTGTGTTTTATTAGAGATGGGTTTAAAAAGAATCCTGTAATGAGCGGCGCCCTAAAATCCACGAACAGGGCTTACTGACAGGCTGTTTCATCTAATTGCCTGCACCCTTACGTCAAGAGGCATATTTACGTTTTAAGCACATCACAACACCACTAAAATAGGTTCTTTATTATTGAAATAGGTCCCACTTCATTATCCATTCAATGTGTGATTATCCATAAACCCATGCAGCAATAAAAAATAAAAAAATTAAGTTTTTATATTAATTTGCTTCAATTTTATCATGTGACTGGAACCATTCTACAAGTGCATTGTGTGGTCGAGCTAACACGTAAACATAGCCGAAGTTCAGTGTTGCTGTTTATTCGGAGCAGAGGTGTTTGGTACAAGTGTCAACATTGTTTCCGCCACTAGTGTTAGCAGAGTGCAGCAACTGCAAGACATGAAAAAGTGTGCTTACCGAGCTGCTTGTGCTACATGATAACGTAACGTGTAAACCAACGTGAATTGACGACCAGTGTCATCATGGGACGAACATTGCATAGGAAGAGCAACAGTAGCCGTTTTGTTTAACTGGTGTATATTGCTAAATGCCGTATGCTGAGCAACAAGTGTACATGTGGTTATGAAACTTTTTAAGGATTGCTTATTCCTTTGTCCTGAGAGGCATACATAATTTGTAGGGCACGAACACCCGCCTCAGACATGTCTTTCACTCTTAAATTGAAAAACGTACCAGCTGTCACATAACCTATGCTTAGGATCCACAATATGGCCAACATAAAGAACGTAGTAAGGATAAGAATTTATGGATGAAAAACTTCTTTATTACAATTTAAGAGGGACGTTTCGGTGTAGGTTCTAACACCGTTATCAAGCAAGTGAACCTTCACCGAAAACGTCGCTCTAAATTGTAATAAAGAAGTTGTTCATCCATAAATTCTTATCCTTACTTAGAACTCCAACTTCAAAAGGACTATCAAAGTAGTTAAAACAAAGAATAAATATAGACAGGTTTATACATACAAACTAACAAATATAGCAAATTTCATTATATTTTAAAACAAATTACTGTATAATGAAAATCAGTCTTTGGAAGTTCTCAAAATGACTTCCTTGACAGTCCGAACACTAAGGAGCAGGTATTCATAGGTATTCTACATATTTGTATTGATCGTTTAGCTTTCCTATCAAATTATTCACAATACCTTAATCACAGGATCATAAAAAAAACAAATCTCAACTGAAATTCAACTCCTACATCTATTTCGTCTCACCATCAACCTTCCTTTGCGTTGAATAGAAAATAGTTCATGCCCTGGGAAGAATGCCCATGTTTTGAGGTCAAACGAGGTCAGAATACTCACCGGCACAGCAAACCTGACCACTTGGACACTGGCGACCAGGAATAATTCCAAAGGAGTTACAGTTACTTGTGACAATACATGAGATTCCGGCATCAGTGCAGGCTGAAAGAAAATGTTCATCAATGGAAATAGATCTGTTTTCTCGTTCTTTGGCAGATATGTCCTTTTCATATTTTCTCACTAATGGGTTAAGAATGTACACTTTTTCACAAAACAAGACATTAAATCATCTGTTCTTAAGTTTATGGATGACTCCCTTTTCAAAAAGTGCCATAACTACAAAAGGCTTAATAATGAATGTCAGTATGAACCTTCTTGGGAATGTGAGGAAAAAGACAAAAGCCCTGTATTTTTATATGCACTACCGTGCCTGAAGAATGCTCATCAAAACTTTTGTAAGATTCATGGGACTTTCATTTTCATGCTGGATTTTATTATTATGTCTTTCAACATAACAAGACCCGAGCCGGAATAGTTCTTCAGCAACCCATGCTTGTCGTAAAAGACGACTATGCTTGTTGTAAGAGGCGACTTAAAGGATCCAGTGACCAGGCTCGCTGACTTGGTTGAATCATTTCATTGTGTCCAAAATGCGTGGGTTGATGCTCATGACGTTAATCACTGGATTGTCACGTCCAGACTCGATTATTTACAGACCGCGGTCGTATAGCTGGTATATTGCTGAGTGCCGCGTTAAACAAGAAACAAACAAATAAAATATCTTTGTGCATTCAGCCCAAAACGTGGTGTATTCGGAAGGCATTTAAAATTATATGCACAGATTGAAACCATTTACTGATAATGATACCCATTTCCGAATTACTAAAGTTTATATTTTCTGGATTGTTTAAGTAACAATTGCATGTCAAGTTACCCGAGGAATATGTCCATCAACTATGACCAAGCAGATCCTGAAAATGAATCAAGTTAACTCAAATACTTCCTCAAAAGAATATCTCTATTGGGAAAAGACCCATGAACAGCCGGGATAGAATAGGTCTTCAGCAACCATGCTTGCTGTAAAAGGCGACTATACTTGTTGTAAAATGTCACTTATGGGATCAGGTGGTCAGGCTCACTGACTTGCTGATGCATGTCATCGATACCTATCGCATGGATCGGTATTGATGACAATTGAATGGATCGGACCCGTGAAGATTCCGGGGTAGAATAGGTCTTCAGCATCCCATGCTTGCCGTAAAGGGCGACTATGCTTGTTGTAAAAGGCAACTAACGGGATCGGGTGGTCAGGCTCGCTGACTTGGTTGATACATGTCATCGATCCCAATTGCGTGGATCGATGCTCATGATATTAATCACTGGATTGTCTGGTCCAGATTCGATTATTTACAGACCGACGTCATATAGCTTGAATATTGCTGAGTGCTGCGTTAAACAACACACCAACCAACAGCATGGATCGATGCTCATGATGTCAATCACTGGGTTGTCTCGTCCAGACTCGATTATTTACAGACCACCGTCATATAGCTGGAATATTGCTGAGTAGGTGTTAAAAAAACAAACAAAACAAATCTATTGGGAAATACATGCTGACAAATTCAGAAGCGCCTGAATTTCCTACTTAAACATAGTCGGTGGACTTGACCATAGTCGACTGCATATTAATTCATACCACTTACGTTGAAGTGTTGTTGTTGCTAAAGTCGTTGTTGCTACGGTCGTTGCTGCTAAGGTCGTTGTTGCTAAGGTTGTTGTTGCTAAAGTAAGGGCATCTGAAACAGAACAATTGATGTCATGAAAATACAGCTCTATTGAAGAAATAAAGTTTGCTCTATCCCCATGTACAGTTTAATATGAATAGTTTTGGCGTGTTCTATTACAGTTGAAGCACCAGTGCACTTACGCCCGAGTGCTTTGACGCCATAATAGCTCAAAGCAAAACTATTCTTTTTTACAATATACAAAGGGGTAGAGCAAACTTTATTATGTTTCTAAGATGCTGAAATTAAGACTGATCTTGTGTTTTATTAGAGATGGGTTTAAAAAGAATCCTGTAATGAGCGGCGCCCTAAAATCCACGAACAGGGCTTACTGACAGGCTGTTTCATCTAATTGCCTGCACCCTTACGTCAAGAGGCATATTTACGTTTTAAGCACATCACAACACCACTAAAATAGGTTCTTTATTATTGAAATAGGTCCCACTTCATTATCCATTCAATGTGTGATTATCCATAAACCCATGCAGCAATAAAAAATAAAAAAATTAAGTTTTTATATTAATTTGCTTCAATTTTATCATGTGACTGGAACCATTCTACAAGTGCATTGTGTGGTCGAGCTAACACGTAAACATAGCCGAAGTTCAGTGTTGCTGTTTATTCGGAGCAGAGGTGTTTGGTACAAGTGTCAACATTGTTTCCGCCACTAGTGTTAGCAGAGTGCAGCAACTGCAAGACATGAAAAAGTGTGCTTACCGAGCTGCTTGTGCTACATGATAACGTAACGTGTAAATCAACGTGAATTGACGACCAGTGTCATCATGGGACGAACATTGCATAGGAAGAGCAACAGTAGCCGTTTTGTTTAACTGGTGTACATTGCTAAATGCCGTATGCTTAGCAACAAGTGTACATGTGGTTATGAAACTTTTTAAGGATTGCTTATTCCTTTGTCCTGAGAGGCATACATAATTTGTAGGGCACGAACACCCGCCTCAGACATGTCTTTCACTCTTAAATTGAAAAACGTACCAGCTGTCACATAACCTATGCTTAGGATCCACAATATGGCCAACATAAAGAACGAAGTAAGGATAAGAATTTATGGATGAACAACTTCTTTATTACAATTTAAGAGCGACGTTTCGGTGTAGGTTCTAACACCGTTATCAAGCAAGTGAACCTTCACCGAAAACGTTGCTCTAAATTGTAATAAAGAAGTTGTTCATCCATAAATTCTTATCCTTACTTAGAACTCCAACTTCAAAAGGACTATCAAAGTAGTTAAAGCAAAGAATAAATATAGACAGGTTTATACATACAAACTAACAAATATAGCAAATTTCATTATATTTTAAAACAAATTACTGTATAATGAAAATCAGTCTTTGGAAGTTCTCAAAATGACTTCCTTGACAGTCCGAACACTGAGGAGCAGGTATTCATAGGTATTCTACATATTTGTATTGATCGTTTAGCTTTCCTATCAAATTATTCACAATACCTTAATCACAGGATCATAAAAAAAACAAATCTCATAATGGAAATTCAATTCCTACATCTATTTCTTCTCACCATCAACCTTCCTTTGCGTTGAATAGAAAATAGTTCATGCCCTGGGAAGAATGCCCATGTTTTGAGGTCAAACGAGGTCAGAATACTCACCAGCACAGCAAACCTGACCACTTGGACACTGGCGACCAGTAATAATTCCAATGGAGTTACAGTTGCTTGTGACAATACATGAGATTCCGGCATCAGTGCAGGCTGAAAGAAAATGTTCATCAATGGAAATAGATCTGTTTTCTCGTTCTTTGGCAGAAATGGCCTTTTCATATTTTCTCACTAATGGGTTAAGAATGTACACTTTTTCACAAAACAAGACATTAAATCATCTGTTCTTAAGTTTATGGATGACTCCCTTTTCAAAAAGTGCCATAACTACAAAAGGCTTAATAATGAATGTCAGTATGAACCTTCTTGGGAATGTGAGGAAAAAGACAAAAGCCCTGTATTTTTATATGCACTACCGTGCCTGAAGAATGCTCATCAAAACTTTTGTAAGATTCATGGGACTTTCATTTTCATGCTGGATTTTATTATTATGTCTTTCAACATAACAAGACCCGAGCCGGAATAGTTCTTCAGCAACCCATGCTTGTCGTAAAAGACGACTATGCTTGTTGTAAGAGGCGACTAAAAGGATCCAGTGACCAGGCTCGCTGACTTGGTTGAATCATTTCATTGTGTCCAAAATGCGTGGGTTGATGCTCATGACGTTAATCACTGGATTGTCACGTCCAGACTCGATTATTTACAGACCGCGGTCGTATAGCTGGTATATTGCTGAGTGCCGCGTTAAACAAGAAACAAACAAATAAAATATCTTTGTGCATTCAGCCCAAAACGTGGTGTATTCGGAAGGCATTTAAAATTATATGCACAGATTGAAACCATTTACTGATAATGATACCCATTTCCGAATTACTAAAGTTTATATTTTCTGGATTGTTTAAGTAACAATTGCATGTCAAGTTACCCGAGGAATATGTCCATCAACTATGACCAAGCAGATCCTGAAAATGAATCAAGTTAACTCAAATACTTCCTCAAAAGAATATCTCTATTGGGAAAAGACCCATGAACAGCCGGGATAGAATAGGTCTTCAGCAACCATGCTTGCTGTAAAAGGCGACTATGCTTGTTGTAAAACGCCACTTATGGGATCAGGTGGTCAGGCTCACTGACTTGCTGATGCATGTCATCGATACCTATCGCATGGATCGGTATTGATGACAATTGAATGGATCGGACCCGTGAAGATTCCAGGGTAGAATAGGTCTTCAGCATCCCATGCTTGCCGTAAAGGGTGACTATGCTTGTTGTAAAAGGCAACTAAAGGGATCGGGTGGTCAGGCTCGCTGACTTGGTTGATACATGTCATCGATCCCAATTGCGTGGATCGATGCTCATGATATTAATCACTGGATTGTCTGGTCCAGATTCGATTATTTACAGACCTACGTCATATAGCTTGAATATTGCTGAGTGCTGCGTTAAACAACACACCAACCAACAGCATGGATCGATGCTCATGATGTCAATCACTGGGTTGTCTCGTCCAGACTCGATTATTTACAGACCGCCGTCATATAGCTGGAATATTGCTGAGTGCGGCGTTAAAAAAACAAACAAAACAAATCTGTTGGGAAATACATGCTGACAAATTCAGAAGCGCCTGAATTTCCTACTAAAATAGTCGGTGGACTTGACCATAGTCGACTGCATATTAATTCATACCACTTACGTTGAAGTGTTGTTGTTGCTAAAGTCGTTGTTGCTAAGGTCGTTGTGGCTAAAGTCGTTGTTGCTACGGTCGTTGCTGCTAAGGTCGTTGTTGCTAAGGTCGTTGTTGCTAAAGTAAGGGCATCTGAAACAGAACAATTGATGTCATGAAAATACAGCTCTATTGAAGAAATAAAGTTTGCTCTATCCCCATGTACAGTTTAATATGAATAGTTTTGGCGTGTTCTATTACAGTTGAAGCACCAGTGCACTTACGCCCGAGTGCTTTGACGCCATAATAGCTCAAAGCAAAACTTTTCTTTTTTACAATATACAAAGGGGTAGAGCAAACTTTATTATGTTTCTTAGATGCTGAAATAAAGACTGATCTTGTGTTTTATTAGAGATGGGTTTAAAAAGAATCCTGTAATGAGCGGCGCCCTAAAATCCACGAACAGGGCTTACTGACAGGCTGTTTCATCTAATTGCCTGCACCCTTACGTCAAGAGGCATATTTACGTTTTAAGCACATCACAACACCACTAAAATAGGTTCTTTATTATTGAAATAGGTCCCACTTCATTATCCATTCAATGTGTGATTATCCATAAACCCATGCAGCAATAAAAAATTAAAAAATTAAGTTTTTATATTAATTTGCTTCAATTTTATCACGTGACTCGAACCATTCTACAAGTGCATTGTGTGGTCGAGCTAACACGTAAACATAGCCGAAGTTCAGTGTTGCTGTTTATTCGGAGCAGAGGTGTTTGGTACAAGTGTCAACATTGTTTCCGCCACTATTGTTAGCGGAGTGCAGCAACTGCAAGACATGAAAAAGTGTGCTTACCGAGCTGCTTGTGCTACATGATAACGTAACGTGTAAACCAACGTGAATTGACGACCAGTGTCATCATGGGACGAACATTGCATAGGAAGAGCAACAGTAGCCGTTTTGTTTAACTGGTGTATATTGCTAAATGCCGTATGCTGAGCAACAAGTGTACATGTGGTTATGAAACTTTTTAAGGATTGCTTATTCCTTTGTCCTGAGAGGCATACATAATTTGTAGGGCACGAACACCCGCCTCAGACATGTCTTTCACTCTTAAATTGAAAAACGTACCAGCTGTCACATAACCTATGCTTAGGATCCACAATATTGCCAACATAAAGAACGAAGTAAGGATAAGAATTTATGGATGAACAACTTCTTTATTACAATTTAAGAGGGACGTTTCGGTGTAGGTTCTAACACCGTTATCAAGCAAGTGAACCTTCACCGAAAACGTTGCTCTAAATTGTAATAAAGAAGTTGTTCATCCATAAATTCTTATCCTTACTTAGAACTCCAACTTCAAAAGGACTATCAAAGTAGTTAAAGCAAAGAATAAATATAGACAGGTTTATACATACAAACTAACAAATATGGCAAATTTCATTATATTTTAAAACAAATTACTGTATAATGAAAATCAGTCTTTGGAAGTTCTCAAAATGACTTCCTTGACAGTCCGAACACTGAGGAGCAGGTATTCATAGGTATTCTACATATTTGTATTGATCGTTTAGCTTTCCTATCAAATTATTCACAATACCTTAATCACAGGATCATAAAAAAAACAAATCTCATAATGGAAATTCAATTCCTACATCTATTTCTTCTCACCATCAACCTTCCTTTGCGTTGAATAGAAAATAGTTCATGCCCTGGGAAGAATGCCCATGTTTTGAGGTCAAACGAGGTCAGAATACTCACCAGCACAGCAAACCTGACCACTTGGACACTGGCGACCAGTAATAATTCCAATGGAGTTACAGTTGCTTGTGACAATACATGAGATTCCGGCATCAGTGCAGGCTGAAAGAAAATGTTCATCAATGGAAATAGATCTGTTTTCTCGTTCTTTGGCAGAAATGGCCTTTTCATATTTTCTCACTAATGGGTTAAGAATGTACACTTTTTCACAAAACAAGACATTAAATCATCTGTTCTTAAGTTTATGGATGACTCCCTTTTCAAAAAGTGCCATAACTACAAAAGGCTTAATAATGAATGTCAGTATGAACCTTCTTGGGAATGTGAGGAAAAAGACAAAAGCCCTGTATTTTTATATGCACTACCGTGCCTGAAGAATGCTCATCAAAACTTTTGTAAGATTCATGGGACTTTCATTTTCATGCTGGATTTTATTATTATGTCTTTCAACATAACAAGACCCGAGCCGGAATAGTTCTTCAGCAACCCATGCTTGTCGTAAAAGACGACTATGCTTGTTGTAAGAGGCGACTAAAAGGATCCAGTGACCAGGCTCGCTGACTTGGTTGAATCATTTCATTGTGTCCAAAATGCGTGGGTTGATGCTCATGACGTTAATCACTGGATTGTCACGTCCAGACTCGATTTTTTACAGACCGCAGTCGTATAGCTGGTATATTGCTGAGTGCCGCGTTAAACAAGAAACAAACAAATAAAATATCTTTGTGCATTCAGCCCAAAACGTGGTGTATTCGGAAGGCATTTAAAATTATATGCACAGATTGAAACCATTTACTGATAATGATACCCATTTCCGAATTACTAAAGTTTATATTTTCTGGATTGTTTAAGTAACAATTGCATGTCAAGTTACCCGAGGAATATGTCCATCAACTATGACCAAGCAGATCCTGAAAATGAATCAAGTTAACTCAAATACTTCCTCAAAAGAATATCTCTATTGGGAAAAGACCCATGAACAGCCGGGATAGAATAGGTCTTCAGCAACCATGCTTGCTGTAAAAGGCGACTATGCTTGTTGTAAAATGCCACTTATGGGATCAGGTGGTCAGGCTCACTGACTTGCTGATGCATGTCATCGATACCTATCGCATGGATCGGTATTGATGACAATTGAATGGATCGGACCCGTGAAGATTCCGGGCTAGAATAGGTCTTCAGCATCCCATGCTTGCCGTAAAGGGTGACTATGCTTGTTGTAAAAGGCAACTAAAGGGATCGGGTGGTCAGGCTCGCTGACTTGGTTGATACATGTCATCGATCCCAATTGCGTGGATCGATGCTCATGATATTAATCACTGGATTGTCTGGTCCAGATTCGATTATTTACAGACCTACGTCATATAGCTTGAATATTGCTGAGTGCTGCGTTAAACAACACACCAACCAACAGCATGGATCGATGCTCATGATGTCAATCACTGGGTTGTCTCGTCCAGACTCGATTATTTACAGACCGCCGTCATATAGCTGGAATATTGCTGAGTGCGGCGTTAAAAAAACAAACAAAACAAATCTGTTGGGAAATACATGCTGACAAATTCAGAAGCGCCTGAATTTCCTACTAAAATAGTCGGTGGACTTGACCATAGTCGACTGCATATTAATTCATACCACTTACGTTGAAGTGTTGTTGTTGCTAAAGTCGTTGTTGCTAAGGTCGTTGTGGCTAAAGTCGTTGTTGCTACGGTCGTTGCTGCTAAGGTCGTTGTTGCTAAGGTCGTTGTTGCTAAAGTAAGGGCATCTGAAACAGAACAATTGATGTCATGAAAATACAGCTCTATTGAAGAAATAAAGTTTGCTCTATCCCCATGTACAGTTTAATATGAATAGTTTTGGCGTGTTCTATTACAGTTGAAGCACCAGTGCACTTACGCCCGAGTGCTTTGACGCCATAATAGCTCAAAGCAAAACTTTTCTTTTTTACAATATACAAAGGGGTAGAGCAAACTTTATTATGTTTCTAAGATGCTGAAATTAAGACTGATCTTGTGTTTTATTAGAGATGGGTTTAAAAAGAATCCTGTAATGAGCGGCGCCCTAAAATCCACGAACAGGGCTTACTGACAGGCTGTTTCATCTAATTGCCTGCACCCTTACGTCAAGAGGCATATTTACGTTTTAAGCACATCACAACACCACTAAAATAGGTTCTTTATTATTGAAATAGGTCCCACTTCATTATCCATTCAATGTGTGATTATCCATAAACCCATGCAGCAATAAAAAATTAAAAAATTAAGTTTTTATATTAATTTGCTTCAATTTTATCATGTGACTCGAACCATTCTACAAGTGCATTGTGTGGTCGAGCTAACACGTAAACATAGCCGAAGTTCAGTGTTGCTGTTTATTCGGAGCAGAGGTGTTTGGTACAAGTGTCAACATTGTTTCCGCCACTATTGTTAGCGGAGTGCAGCAACTGCAAGACATGAAAAAGTGTGCTTACCGAGCTGCTTGTGCTACATGATAACGTAACGTGTAAACCAACGTGAATTGACGACCAGTGTCATCATGGGACGAACATTGCATAGGAAGAGCAACAGTAGCCGTTTTGTTTAACTGGTGTATATTGCTAAATGCCGTATGCTGAGCAACAAGTGTACATGTGGTTATGAAACTTTTTAAGGATTGCTTATTCCTTTGTCCTGAGAGGCATACATAATTTGTAGGGCACGAACACCCGCCTCAGACATGTCTTTCACTCTTAAATTGAAAAACGTACCAGCTGTCACATAACCTATGCTTAGGATCCACAATATTGCCAACATAAAGAACGAAGTAAGGATAAGAATTTATGGATGAACAACTTCTTTATTACAATTTAAGAGGGACGTTTCGGTGTAGGTTCTAACACCGTTATCAAGCAAGTGAACCTTCACCGAAAACGTCGCTCTAAATTGTAATAAAGAAGTTGTTCATCCATAAATTCTTATCCTTACTTAGAACTCCAACTTCAAAAGGACTATCAAAGTAGTTAAAACAAAGAATAAATATAGACAGGTTTATACATACAAACTAACAAATATAGCAAATTTCATTATATTTTAAAACAAATTACTGTATAATGAAAATCAGTCTTTGGAAGTTCTCAAAATGACTTCCTTGACAGTCCGAACACTAAGGAGCAGGTATTCATAGGTATTCTACATATTTGTATTGATCGTTTAGCTTTCCTATCAAATTATTCACAATACCTTAATCACAGGATCATAAAAAAAACAAATCTCATAATGGAAATTCAATTCCTACATCTATTTCGTCTCACCATCAACCTTCCTTTGCGTTGAATAGAAAATAGTTCATGCCCTGGGAAGAATGCCCATGTTTTGAGGTCAAACGAGGTCAGAATACTCACCAGCACAGCAAACCTGACCACTTGGACACTGGCGACCAGGAATAATTCCAATGGAGTTACAGGTGCTTGTGACAATACATGAGATTCCGGCATCAGTGCAGGCTGAAAGAAAATGTTCATCAATGGAAATAGATCTGTTTTCTCGTTCTTTGGCAGAAATGGCCTTTTCATATTTTCTCACTAATGGGTTAAGAATGTACACTTTTTCACAAAACAAGACATTAAATCATCTGTTCTTAAGTTTATGGATGACTCCCTTTTCAAAAAGTGCCATAACTACAAAAGGCTTAATAATGAATGTCAGTATGAACCTTCTTGGGAATGTGAGGAAAAAGACAAAAGCCCTGTATTTTTATATGCACTACCGTGCCTGAAGAATGCTCATCAAAACTTTTGTAAGATTCATGGGACTTTCATTTTCATGCTGGATTTTATTATTATGTCTTTCAACATAACAAGACCCGAGCCGGAATAGTTCTTCAGCAACCCTTGCTTGTCGTAAAAGACGACTATGCTTGTTGTAAGAGGCGACTAAAAGGATCCAGTGACCAGGCTCGCTGACTTGGTTGAATCATTTCATTGTGTCCAAAATGCGTGGGTTGATGCTCATGACGTTAATCACTGGATTGTCACGTCCAGACTCGATTATTTACAGACCGCGGTCGTATAGCTGGTATATTGCTGAGTGCCGCGTTAAACAAGAAACAAACAAATAAAATATCTTTGTGCATTCAGCCCAAAACGTGGTGTATTCGGAAGGCATTTAAAATTATATGCACAGATTGAAACCATTTACTGATAATGATACCCATTTCCGAATTACTAAAGTTTATATTTTCTGGATTGTTTAAGTAACAATTGCATGTCAAGTTACCCGAGGAATATGTCCATCAACTATGACCAAGCAGATCCTGAAAATGAATCAAGTTAACTCAAATACTTCCTCAAAAGAATATCTCTATTGGGAAAAGACCCATGAACAGCCGGGATAGAATAGGTCTTCAGCAACCATGCTTGCTGTAAAAGGCGACTATGCTTGTTGTAAAATGCCACTTATGGGATCAGGTGGTCAGGCTCACTGACTTGCTGATGCATGTCATCGATACCTATCGCATGGATAGGTATTGATGACAATTGAATGGATCGGACCCGTGAAGATTCCAGGGTAGAATAGGTCTTCAGCATCCCATGCTTGCCGTAAAGGGCGACTGTGCTTGTTGTAAAAGGCAACTAACGGGATTGGGTGGTCAGGCTCGCTGACTTGGTTGATACATGTCATCGATCCCAATTGCGTGGATCGATGCTCATGATATTAATCACTGGATTGTCTGGTCCAGATTCGATTATTTACAGACCGACGTCATATAGCTTGAACATTGCTGAGTGCTGCGTTAAACAACACACCAACCAACAGCATGGATCGATGCTCATGATGTCAATCACTGGGTTGTCTCGTCCAGACTCGATTATTTACAGACCGCCGTCATATAGCTGGACTATTGCTGAGTGCGGCGTTAAAAAAACAAACAAAACAAATCTATTGGGAAATACATGCTGACAAATTCAGAAGCGCCTGAATTTCCTACTTAAACATAGTCGGTGGACTTGACCATAGTCGACTGCATATTAATTCATACCACTTACGTTGAAGTGTTGTTGTTGCTAAAGTCGTTGTTGCTAAGGTCGTTGTGGCTAAAGTCGTTGTTGCTACGGTCGTTGCTGCTAAGGTCGTTGTTGCTAAGGTCGTTGTTGCTAAAGTAAGGGCATCTGAAACAGAACAATTGATGTCATGAAAATACAGCTCTATTGAAGAAATAAAGCTTGCTCTATCCCCATGTACAGTTTAATATGAATAGTTTTGGCGTGTTCTATTACAGTTGAAGCACCAGTGCACTTACGCCCGAGTGCTTTGACGCCATAATAGCTCAAAGCAAAACTTTTCTTTTTTACAATATACAAAGGGGTAGAGCAAACTTTATTATGTTTCTAAGATGCTGAAATTAAGACTGATCTTGTGTTTTATTAGAGATGGGTTTAAAAAGAATCCTGTAATGAGCGGCGCCCTAAAATCCACGAACAGGGCTTACTGACAGGCTGTTTCATCTAATTGCCTGCACCCTTACGTCAAGAGGCATATTTACGTTTTAAGCACATCACAACACCACTAAAATAGGTTCTTTATTATTGAAATAGGTCCCACTTCATTATCCATTCAATGTGTGATTATCCATAAACCCATGCAGCAATAAAAAATTAAAAAATTAAGTTTTTATATTAATTTGCTTCAATTTTATCATGTGACTCGAACCATTCCACAAGTGCATTGTGTGGTCGAGCTAACACGTAAACATAGCCGAAGTTCAGTGTTGCTGTTTATTCGGAGCAGAGGTGTTTGGTACAAGTGTCAACATTGTTTCCGCCACTATTGTTAGCAGAGTGCAGCAACTGCAAGACATGAAAAAGTGTGCTTACCGAGCTGCTTGTGCTACATGATAACGTAACGTGTAAACCAACGTGAATTGACGACCAGTGTCATCATGGGACGAACATTGCATAGGAAGAGCAACAGTAGCCGTTTTGTTTAACTGGTGTATATTGCTAAATGCCGTATGCTGAGCAACAAGTGTACATGTGGTTATGAAACTTTTTAAGGATTGCTTATTCCTTTGTCCTGAGAGGCATACATAATTTGTAGGGCACGAACACCCGCCTCAGACATGTCTTTCACTCTTAAATTGAAAAACGTACCAGCTGTCACATAACCTATGCTTAGGATCCACAATATGGCCAACATAAAGAACGAAGTAAGGATAAGAATTTATGGATGAACAACTTCTTTATTACAATTTAAGAGGGACGTTTCGGTGTAGGTTCTAACACCGTTATCAAGCAAGTGAACCTTCACCGAAAACGTCGCTCTAAATTGTAATAAAGAAGTTGTTCATCCATAAATTCTTATCCTTACTTAGAACTCCAACTTCAAAAGGACTATCAAAGTAGTTAAAACAAAGAATAAATATAGACAGGTTTATACATACAAACTAACAAATATAGCAAATTTCATTATATTTTAAAACAAATTACTGTATAATGAAAATCAGTCTTTGGAAGTTCTCAAAATGACTTCCTTGACAGTCCGAACACTAAGGAGCAGGTATTCATAGGTATTCTACATATTTGTATTGATCGTTTAGCTTTCCTATCAAATTATTCACAATACCTTAATCACAGGATCATAAAAAAACAAATCTCAACTGAAATTCAACTCCTACATCTATTTCTTCTCACCATCAACCTTCCTTTGCGTTGAATAGAAAATAGTTCATGCCCTGGGAAGAATGCCCATGTTTTGAGGTCAAACGAGGTCAGAATACTCACCAGCACAGCAAACCTGACCACTTGGACACTGGCGACCAGGAATAATTCCAAAGGAGTTACAGTTACTTGTGACAATACATGAGATTCCGGCATCAGTGCAGGCTGAAAGAAAATGTTCATCAATGGAAATAGATCTGTTTTCTCGTTCTTTGGCAGATATGTCCTTTTCATATTTTCTCACTAATGTGTTAAGAATGTACACTTTTTCACAAAACAAGACATTAAATCATCTGTTCTTAAGTTTATGGATGACTCCCTTTTCAAAAAGTGCCATAACTACAAAAGGCTTAATAATGAATGTCAGTATGAACCTTCTTGGGAATGTGAGGAAAAAGACAAAAGCCCTGTATTTTTATATGCACTACCGTGCCTGAAGAATGCTCATCAAAACTTTTGTAAGATTCATGGGACTTTCATTTTCATGCTGGATTTTATTATTATGTCTTTCAACATAACAAGACCCGAGCCGGAATAGTTCTTCAGCAACCCATGCTTGTCGTAAAAGACGACTATGCTTGTTGTAAGAGGCAACTAAAAGGATCCAGTGACCAGGCTCGCTGACTTGGTTGAATCATTTCATTGTGTCCAAAATGCGTGGGTTGATGCTCATGACGTTAATCACTGGATTGTCACGTCCAGACTCGATTATTTACAGACCGCGGTCGTATGGCTGGTATATTGCTGAGTGCCGCGTTAAACAAGAAACAAACAAATAAAATATCTTTGTGCATTCAGCCCAAAACGTGGTGTATTCGGAAGGCATTTAAAATTATATGCACAGATTGAAACCATTTACTGATAATGATACCCATTTCCGAATTACTAAAGTTTATATTTTCTGGATTGTTTAAGTAACAATTGCATGTCAAGTTACCCGAGGAATATGTCCATCAACTATGACCAAGCAGATCCTGAAAATGAATCAAGTTAACTCAAATACTTCCTCAAAAGAATATCTCTATTGGGAAAAGACCCATGAACAGCCGGGATAGAATAGGTCTTCAGCAACCATGCTTGCTGTAAAAGGCGACTATGCTTGTTGTAAAATGCCACTTATGGGATCAGGTGGTCAGGCTCACTGACTTGCTGATGCATGTCATCGATACCTATCGCATGGATAGGTATTGATGACAATTGAATGGATCGGACCCGTGAAGATTCCAGGGTAGAATAGGTCTTCAGCATCCCATGCTTGCCGTAAAGGGTGACTATGCTTGTTGTAAAAGGCAACTAACGGGATCGGGTGGTCAGGCTCGCTGACTTGGTTGATACATGTCATCGATCCCAATTGCGTGGATCGATGCTCATGATATTAATCACTGGATTGTCTGGTCCAGATTCGATTATTTACAGACCGACGTCATATAGCTTGAATATTGCTGAGTGCTGCGTTAAACAACACACCAACCAACAGCATGGATCGATGCTCATGATGTCAATCACTGGGTTGTCTCGTCCAGACTCGATTATTTACAGACCGCCGTCATATAGCTGGACTATTGCTGAGTGCGGCGTTAAAAAAACAAACAAAACAAATCTATTGGGAAATACATGCTGACAAATTCAGAAGCGCCTGAATTTCCTACTTAAACATAGTCGGTGGACTTGACCATAGTCGACTGCATATTAATTCATACCACTTACGTTGAAGTGTTGTTGTTGCTAAAGTCGTTGTTGCTAAGGTCGTTGTGGCTAAAGTCGTTGTTGCTACGGTCGTTGCTGCTAAGGTCGTTGTTGCTAAGGTCGTTGTTGCTAAAGTAAGGGCATCTGAAACAGAACAATTGATGTCATGAAAATACAGCTCTATTGAAGAAATAAAGTTTGCTCTATCCCCATGTACAGTTTAATATGAATAGTTTTGGCGTGTTCTATTACAGTTGAAGCACCAGTGCACTTACGCCCGAGTGCTTTGACGCCATAATAGCTCAAAGCAAAACTTTTCTTTTTTACAATATACAAAGGGGTAGAGCAAACTTTATTATGTTTCTAAGATGCTGAAATTAAGACTGATCTTGTGTTTTATTAGAGATGGGTTTAAAAAGAATCCTGTAATGAGCGGCGCCCTAAAATCCACGAACAGGGCTTACTGACAGGCTGTTTCATCTAATTGCCTGCACCCTTACGTCAAGAGGCATATTTACGTTTTAAGCACATCACAACACCACTAAAATAGGTTCTTTATTATTGAAATAGGTCCCACTTCATTATCCATTCAATGTGTGATTATCCATAAACCCATGCAGCAATAAAAAATTAAAAAATTAAGTTTTTATATTAATTTGCTTCAATTTTATCATGTGACTCGAACCATTCCACAAGTGCATTGTGTGGTCGAGCTAACACGTAAACATAGCCGAAGTTCAGTGTTGCTGTTTATTCGGAGCAGAGGTGTTTGGTACAAGTGTCAACATTGTTTCCGCCACTATTGTTAGCAGAGTGCAGCAACTGCAAGACATGAAAAAGTGTGCTTACCGAGCTGCTTGTGCTACATGATAACGTAACGTGTAAACCAACGTGAATTGACGACCAGTGTCATCATGGGACGAACACTGCATAGGAAGAGCAACAGTAGCCGTTTTGTTTAACTGGTGTATATTGCTAAATGCCGTATGCTGAGCAACAAGTGTACATGTGGTTATGAAACTTTTTAAGGATTGCTTATTCCTTTGTCCTGAGAGGCATACATAATTTGTAGGGCACGAACACCCGCCTCAGACATGTCTTTCACTCTTAAATTGAAAAACGTACCAGCTGTCACATAACCTATGCTTAGGATCCACAATATGGCCAACATAAAGAACGAAGTAAGGATAAGAATTTATGGATGAACAACTTCTTTATTACAATTTAAGAGCGACGTTTCGGTGTAGGTTCTAACACCGTTATCAAGCAAGTGAACCTTCACCGAAAACGTCGCTCTAAATTGTAATAAAGAAGTTGTTCATCCATAAATTCTTATCCTTACTTAGAACTCCAACTTCAAAAGGACTATCAAAGTAGTTAAAACAAAGAATAAATATAGACAGGTTTATACATACAAACTAACAAATATAGCAAATTTCATTATATTTTAAAACAAATTACTGTATAATGAAAATCAGTCTTTGGAAGTTCTCAAAATGACTTCCTTGACAGTCCGAACACTAAGGAGCAGGTATTCATAGGTATTCTACATATTTGTATTGATCGTTTAGCTTTCCTATCAAATTATTCACAATACCTTAATCACAGGATCATAAAAAAAACAAATCTCAACTGAAATTCAACTCCTACATCTATTTCGTCTCACCATCAACCTTCCTTTGCGTTGAATAGAAAATAGTTCATGCCCTGGGAAGAATGCCCATGTTTTGAGGTCAAACGAGGTCAGAATACTCACCAGCACAGCAAACCTGACCACTTGGACACTGGCGACCAGGAATAATTCCAAAGGAGTTACAGTTACTTGTGACAATACATGAGATTCCGGCATCAGTGCAGGCTGAAAGAAAATGTTCATCAATGGAAATAGATCTGTTTTCTCGTTCTTTGGCAGATATGTCCTTTTCATATTTTCTCACTAATGTGTTAAGAATGTACACTTTTTCACAAAACAAGACATTAAATCATCTGTTCTTAAGTTTATGGATGACTCCCTTTTCAAAAAGTGCCATAACTACAAAAGGCTTAATAATGAATGTCAGTATGAACCTTCTTGGGAATGTGAGGAAAAAGACAAAAGCCCTGTATTTTTATATGCACTACCGTGCCTGAAGAATGCTCATCAAAACTTTTGTAAGATTCATGGGACTTTCATTTTCATGCTGGATTTTATTATTATGTCTTTCAACATAACAAGACCCGAGCCGGAATAGTTCTTCAGCAACCCATGCTTGTCGTAAAAGACGACTATGCTTGTTGTAAGAGGCGACTAAAAGGATCCAGTGACCAGGCTCGCTGACTTGGTTGAATCATTTCATTGTGTCCAAAATGCGTGGGTTGATGCTCATGACGTTAATCACTGGATTGTCACGTCCAGACTCGATTATTTACAGACCGCGGTCGTATAGCTGGTATATTGCTGAGTGCCGCGTTAAACAAGAAACAAACAAATAAAATATCTTTGTGCATTCAGCCCAAAACGTGGTGTATTCGGAAGGCATTTAAAATTATATGCACAGATTGAAACCATTTACTGATAATGATACCCATTTCCGAATTACTAAAGTTTATATTTTCTGGATTGTTTAAGTAACAATTGCATGTCAAGTTACCCGAGGAATATGTCCATCAACTATGACCAAGCAGATCCTGAAAATGAATCAAGTTAACTCAAATACTTCCTCAAAAGAATATCTCTATTGGGAAAAGACCCATGAACAGCCGGGATAGAATAGGTCTTCAGCAACCATGCTTGCTGTAAGAGGCGACTATGCTTGTTGTAAAATGCCACTTATGGGATCAGGTGGTCAGGCTCACTGACTTGCTGATGCATGTCATCGATACCTATCGCATGGATAGGTATTGATGACAATTGAATGGATCGGACCCGTGAAGATTCCAGGGTAGAATAGGTCTTCAGCATCCCATGCTTGCCGTAAAGGGCGACTGTGCTTGTTGTAAAAGGAAACTAACGGGATCGGGTGGTCAGGCTCGCTGACTTGGTTGATACATGTCATCGATCCCAATTGCGTGGATCGATGCTCATGATATTAATCACTGGATTGTCTGGTCCAGATTCGATTATTTACAGACCGACGTCATATAGCTTGAACATTGCTGAGTGCTGCGTTAAACAACACACCAACCAACAGCATGGATCGATGCTCATGATGTCAATCACTGGGTTGTCTCGTCCAGACTCGATTATTTACAGACCGCCGTCATATAGCTGGACTATTGCTGAGTGCGGCGTTAAAAAAACAAACAAAACAAATCTATTGGGAAATACATGCTGACAAATTCAGAAGCGCCTGAATTTCCTACTTAAACATAGTCGGTGGACTTGACCATAGTCGACTGCATATTAATTCATACCACTTACGTTGAAGTGTTGTTGTTGCTAAAGTCGTTGTTGCTAAGGTCGTTGTGGCTAAAGTCGTTGTTGCTACGGTCGTTGCTGCTAAGGTCGTTGTTGCTAAGGTCGTTGTTGCTAAAGTAAGGGCATCTGAAACAGAACAATTGATGTCATGAAAATACAGCTCTATTGAAGAAATAAAGCTTGCTCTATCCCCATGTACAGTTTAATATGAATAGTTTTGGCGTGTTCTATTACAGTTGAAGCACCAGTGCACTTACGCCCGAGTGCTTTGACGCCATAATAGCTCAAAGCAAAACTTTTCTTTTTTACAATATACAAAGGGGTAGAGCAAACTTTATTATGTTTCTAAGATGCTGAAATTAAGACTGATCTTGTGTTTTATTAGAGATGGGTTTAAAAAGAATCCTGTAATGAGCGGCGCCCTAAAATCCACGAACAGGGCTTACTGACAGGCTGTTTCATCTAATTGCCTGCACCCTTACGTCAAGAGGCATATTTACGTTTTAAGCACATCACAACACCACTAAAATAGGTTCTTTATTATTGAAATAGGTCCCACTTCATTATCCATTCAATGTGTGATTATCCATAAACCCATGCAGCAATAAAAAATTAAAAAATTAAGTTTTTATATTAATTTGCTTCAATTTTATCATGTGACTCGAACCATTCCACAAGTGCATTGTGTGGTCGAGCTAACACGTAAACATAGCCGAAGTTCAGTGTTGCTGTTTATTCGGAGCAGAGGTGTTTGGTACAAGTGTCAACATTGTTTCCGCCACTATTGTTAGCAGAGTGCAGCAACTGCAAGACATGAAAAAGTGTGCTTACCGAGCTGCTTGTGCTACTTGATAACGTAACGTGTAAACCAACGTGAATTGACGACCAGTGTCATCATGGGACGAACATTGCATAGGAAGAGCAACAGTAGCCGTTTTGTTTAACTGGTGTATATTGCTAAATGCCGTATGCTGAGCAACAAGTGTACATGTGGTTATGAAACTTTTTAAGGATTGCTTATTCCTTTGTCCTGAGAGGCATACATAATTTGTAGGGCACGAACACCCGCCTCAGACATGTCTTTCACTCTTAAATTGAAAAACGTACCAGCTGTCACATAACCTATGCTTAGGATCCACAATATGGCCAACATAAAGAACGAAGTAAGGATAAGAATTTATGGATGAAAAACTTCTTTATTACAATTTAAGAGGGACGTTTCGGTGTAGGTTCTAACACCGTTATCAAGCAAGTGAACCTTCACCGAAAACGTCGCTCTAAATTGTAATAAAGAAGTTGTTCATCCATAAATTCTTATCCTTACTTAGAACTCCAACTTCAAAAGGACTATCAAAGTAGTTAAAACAAAGAATAAATATAGACAGGTTTATACATACAAACTAACAAATATAGCAAATTTCATTATATTTTAAAACAAATTACTGTATAATGAAAATCAGTCTTTGGAAGTTCTCAAAATGACTTCCTTGACAGTCCGAACACTAAGGAGCAGGTATTCATAGGTATTCTACATATTTGTATTGATCGTTTAGCTTTCCTATCAAATTATTCACAATACCTTAATCACAGGATCATAAAAAAAACAAATCTCAACTGAAATTCAACTCCTACATCTATTTCGTCTCACCATCAACCTTCCTTTGCGTTGAATAGAAAATAGTTCATGCCCTGGGAAGAATGCCCATGTTTTGAGGTCAAACGAGGTCAGAATACTCACCAGCACAGCAAACCTGACCACTTGGACACTGGCGACCAGGAATAATTCCAAAGGAGTTACAGTTACTTGTGACAATACATGAGATTCCGGCATCAGTGCAGGCTGAAAGAAAATGTTCATCAATGGAAATAGATCTGTTTTCTCGTTCTTTGGCAGATATGTCCTTTTCATATTTTCTCACTAATGTGTTAAGAATGTACACTTTTTCACAAAACAAGACATTAAATCATCTGTTCTTAAGTTTATGGATGACTCCCTTTTCAAAAAGTGCCATAACTACAAAAGGCTTAATAATGAATGTCAGTATGAACCTTCTTGGGAATGTGAGGAAAAAGACAAAAGCCCTGTATTTTTATATGCACTACCGTGCCTGAAGAATGCTCATCAAAACTTTTGTAAGATTCATGGGACTTTCATTTTCATGCTGGATTTTATTATTATGTCTTTCAACATAACAAGACCCGAGCCGGAATAGTTCTTCAGCAACCCATGCTTGTCGTAAAAGACGACTATGCTTGTTGTAAGAGGCGACTAAAAGGATCCAGTGACCAGGCTCGCTGACTTGGTTGAATCATTTCATTGTGTCCAAAATGCGTGGGTTGATGCTCATGACGTTAATCACTGGATTGTCACGTCCAGACTCGATTATTTACAGACCGCGGTCGTATAGCTGGTATATTGCTGAGTGCCGCGTTAAACAAGAAACAAACAAATAAAATATCTTTGTGCATTCAGCCCAAAACGTGGTGTATTCGGAAGGCATTTAAAATTATATGCACAGATTGAAACCATTTACTGATAATGATACCAATTTCCGAATTACTAAAGTTTATATTTTCTGGATTGTTTAAGTAACAATTGCATGTCAAGTTACCCGAGGAATATGTCCATCAACTATGACCAAGCAGATCCTGAAAATGAATCAAGTTAACTCAAATACTTCCTCAAAAGAATATCTCTATTAGGAAAAGACCCATGAACAGCCGGGATAGAATAGGTCTTCAGCAACCATGCTTGCTGTAAAAGGCGACTATGCTTGTTGTAAAATGCCACTTATGGGATCAGGTGGTCAGGCTCACTGACTTGCTGATGCATGTCATCGATACCTATCGCATGGATAGGTATTGATGACAATTGAATGGATCGGACCCGTGAAGATTCCAGGGTAGAATAGGTCTTCAGCATCCCATGCTTGCCGTAAAGGGTGACTATGCTTGTTGTAAAAGGCAACTAACGGGATCGGGTGGTCAGGCTCGCTGACTTGGTTGATACATGTCATCGATCCCAATTGCGTGGATCGATGCTCATGATATTAATCACTGGATTGTCTGGTCCAGATTCGATTATTTACAGACCGACGTCATATAGCTTGAATATTGCTGAGTGCTGCGTTAAACAACACACCAACCAACAGCATGGATCGATGCTCATGATGTCAATCACTGGGTTGTCTCGTCCAGACTCGATTATTTACAGACCGCCGTCATATAGCTGGACTATTGCTGAGTGCGGCGTTAAAAAAACAAACAAAACAAATCTATTGGGAAATACATGCTGACAAATTCAGAAGCGCCTGAATTTCCTACTTAAACATAGTCGGTGGACTTGACCATAGTCGACTGCATATTAATTCATACCACTTACGTTGAAGTGTTGTTGTTGCTAAAGTCGTTGTTGCTAAGGTCGTTGTGGCTAAAGTCGTTGTTGCTACGGTCGTTGCTGCTAAGGTCGTTGTTGCTAAGGTCGTTGTTGCTAAAGTAAGGGCATCTGAAACAGAACAATTGATGTCATGAAAATACAGCTCTATTGAAGAAATAAAGCTTGCTCTATCCCCATGTACAGTTTAATATGAATAGTTTTGGCGTGTTCTATTACAGTTGAAGCACCAGTGCACTTACGCCCGAGTGCTTTGACGCCATAATAGCTCAAAGCAAAACTTTTCTTTTTTACAATATACAAAGGGGTAGAGCAAACTTTATTATGTTTCTAAGATGCTGAAATTAAGACTGATCTTGTGTTTTATTAGAGATGGGTTTAAAAAGAATCCTGTAATGAGCGGCGCCCTAAAATCCACGAACAGGGCTTACTGACAGGCTGTTTCATCTAATTGCCTGCACCCTTACGTCAAGAGGCATATTTACGTTTTAAGCACATCACAACACCACTAAAATAGGTTCTTTATTATTGAAATAGGTCCCACTTCATTATCCATTCAATGTGTGATTATCCATAAACCCATGCAGCAATAAAAAATTAAAAAATTAAGTTTTTATATTAATTTGCTTCAATTTTATCATGTGACTCGAACCATTCCACAAGTGCATTGTGTGGTCGAGCTAACACGTAAACATAGCCGAAGTTCAGTGTTGCTGTTTATTCGGAGCAGAGGTGTTTGGTACAAGTGTCAACATTGTTTCCGCCACTATTGTTAGCAGAGTGCAGCAACTGCAAGACATGAAAAAGTGTGCTTACCGAGCTGCTTGTGCTACATGATAACGTAACGTGTAAACCAACGTGAATTGACGACCAGTGTCATCATGGGACGAACACTGCATAGGAAGAGCAACAGTAGCCGTTTTGTTTAACTGGTGTATATTGCTAAATGCCGTATGCTGAGCAACAAGTGTACATGTGGTTATGAAACTTTTTAAGGATTGCTTATTCCTTTGTCCTGAGAGGCATACATAATTTGTAGGGCACGAACACCCGCCTCAGACATGTCTTTCACTCTTAAATTGAAAAACGTACCAGCTGTCACATAACCTATGCTTAGGATCCACAATATGGCCAACATAAAGAACGAAGTAAGGATAAGAATTTATGGATGAACAACTTCTTTATTACAATTTAAGAGGGACGTTTCGGTGTAGGTTCTAACACCGTTATCAAGCAAGTGAACCTTCACCGAAAACGTCGCTCTAAATTGTAATAAAGAAGTTGTTCATCCATAAATTCTTATCCTTACTTAGAACTCCAACTTCAAAAGGACTATCAAAGTAGTTAAAACAAAGAATAAATATAGACAGGTTTATACATACAAACTAACAAATATAGCAAATTTCATTATATTTTAAAACAAATTACTGTATAATGAAAATCAGTCTTTGGAAGTTCTCAAAATGACTTCCTTGACAGTCCGAACACTAAGGAGCAGGTATTCATAGGTATTCTACATATTTGTATTGATCGTTTAGCTTTCCTATCAAATTATTCACAATACCTTAATCACAGGATCATAAAAAAAAAAAATCTCATAATGGAAATTCAATTCCTACACCTATTTCTTCTCACCATCAACCTTCCTTTGCGTTGAATAGAAAATAGTTCATGCCCTGGGAAGAATGCCCATGTTTTGAGGTCAAACGAGGTAAGAATACTCACCAGCACAGCAAACCTGACCACTTGGACACTGGCGACCAGGAATAATTCCAATGGAGTTACAGTTACTTGTGACAATACATGAGATTCCGGCATCAGTGCAGGCTGAAAGAAAATGTTCATCAATGGAAATAGATCTGTTTTCTCGTTCTTTGGCAGAAATGTCCTTTACATATTTTCTCACTAATGTGTTAAGAATGTACACTTTTTCACAAAACAAGACATTAAATCATCTGTTCTTAAGTTTATGGATGACTCCCTTTTCAAAAAGTGCCATAACTACAAAAGGCTTAATAATGAATGTCAGTATGAACGTTAACCTTCTTGGGAATGTGAGGAAAAAGACAAAAGCCTTGTATTTTTATATGCACTACCGTGCCTGAAGAATGCTCATCAAAACTTTTGTAAGATTCATGGGACTTTCATTTTCATGCTGGATTTTATTATTATGACTTTCAACATAACAAGACCCAAGCCGGAATAGTTCTTCTGCAACCCATGCTTGTCGTAAAAGACGACTATGCTTGTTGTAAGAGGCGACTTAAAGGATCCAGTGACCAGGCTCGCTGACTTGGTTGAATCATTTCATTGTGTCCAAATTGCGTGGGTTGATGCTCATGACGTCAATCACTGGATTGTCACGTCCAGACTCGATTATTTACAGACCGCAGTCGTATAGCTGGTATATTGCTGAGTGCCGCGTTAAACAAGAAACAAACAAATAAAATATCTTTGTGCATTCAGCCCAAAACGTGGTGTATTCGAAAGGCAATTAAAATGATATGCACAGATTGAAACCATTTACTGATAATGATACCCATTTCCGAATTACTAAAGTTTATATTTTCTGGATTGTTTAAGTAACAATTGCATGTCAAGTTACCCGAGGAATATGTCCATCAACTATGACCAAGCAGATCCTGAAAATGAATCAAGTTAACTCAAATACTTCCTCAAAAGAATATCTCTATTGGGAAAAGACCCATGAACAGCCGGGATAGAATAGGTCTTCAGCAACCATGCTTGCTGTAAAAGGCGACTATACTTGTTGTAAAATGTCACTTATGGGATCAGGTGGTCAGGCTCACTGACTTGCTGATGCATGTCATCGATACCTATCGCATGGATCGGTATTGATGACAATTGAATGGATCGGACCCGTGAAGATTCCGGGGTAGAATAGGTCTTCAGCATCCCATGCTTGCCGTAAAGGGCGACTATGCTTGTTGTAAAAGGCAACTAACGGGATCGGGTGGTCAGGCTCGCTGACTTGGTTGATACATGTCATCGATCCAAATTGCGTGGATCGATGCTCATGATATTAATCACTGGATTGTCTGGTCCAGATTCGATTATTTACAGACCGACGTCATATAGCTTGAATATTGCTGAGTGCTGCGTTAAACAACACACCAACCAACAGCATGGATCGATGCTCATGATGTCAATCACTGGGTTGTCTCGTCCAGACTCGATTATTTACAGACCGACGTCATATAGCTGGAATATTGCTGAGTGCGGCGTTATAAAAACAAACAAAACAAATCTATTGGGAAATACATGCTGACAAATTCAGAAGCGCCTGAATTTCCTACTTAAACATAGTCGGTGGACTTGACCATAGTCGACTGCATATTAATTCATACCACTTACGTTGAAGTGTTGTTGTTGCTAAAGTCGTTGTTGCTACGGTCGTTGCTGCTAAGGTCGTTGTTGCTAAGGTTGTTGTTGCTAAAGTAAGGGCATCTGAAACAGAACAATTGATGTCATGAAAATACAGCTCTATTGAAGAAATAAAGTTTGCTCTATCCCCATGTACAGTTTAATATGAATAGTTTTGGCGTGTTCTATTACAGTTGAAGCACCAGTGCACTTACGCCCGAGTGCTTTGACGCCATAATAGCTCAAAGCAAAACTTTTCTTTTTTACAATATACAAAGGGGTAGAGCAAACTTTATTATGTTTCTAAGATGCTGAAATTAAGACTGATCTTGTGTTTTATTAGAGATGGGTTTAAAAAGAATCCTGTAATGAGCGGCGCCCTAAAATCCACGAACAGGGCTTACTGACAGGCTGTTTCATCTAATTGCCTGCACCCTTACGTCAAGAGGCATATTTACGTTTTAAGCACATCACAACACCACTAAAATAGGTTCTTTATTATTGAAATAGGTCCCACTTCATTATCCATTCAATGTGTGATTATCCATAAACCCATGCAGCAATAAAAAATTAAAAAATTAAGTTTTTATATTAATTTGCTTCAATTTTATCATGTGACTCGAACCATTCTACAAGTGCATTGTGTGGTCGAGCTAACACGTAAACATAGCCGAAGTTCAGTGTTGCTGTTTATTGGGAGCAGAGGTGTTTGGTACAAGTGTCAACATTGTTTCCGCCACTATTGTCAGCAGATGCAGCAACTGCAAGACATGAAAAAGTGTGCTTACCGAGCTGCTTGTGCTACATGATAACGTAACGTGTAAACCAACGTGAATTGACGACCAGTGTCATCATGGGACGAACATTGCATAGGAAGAGCAACAGTAGCCGTTTTGTTTAACTGGTGTATATTGCTAAATGCCGTATGCTGAGCAACAAGTGTACATATGGTTATGAAACTTTTTAAGGATTGCTTATTCCTTTGTCCTGAGAGGCATACATAATTTGTAGGGCACGAACACCCGCCTCAGACATGTCTTTCACTCTTAAATTGAAAAACATACCAGCTGTCACATAACCTTTGCTTAGGATCCACAATATGGCCAACATAAAGAACGAAGTAAGGATAAGAATTTATGGATGAACAACTTCTTTATTACAATTTAAGAGGGACGTTTCGGTGTAGGTTCTAACACCGTTATCAAGCAAGTAAACCTTCACCGAAAACGTCCCTCTAAATTGTAATAAAGAAGTTGTTCATCCATTAATTCTTATCCTTACTTAGAACTCCAACTTCAAAAGGACTATCAAAGTAGTTAAAACAAAGAACAAATATAGACAGGTTTATACATACAAACTAGAAATATAGCAAATTTCATTATATTTTAAAACAAATTACTCTATAATGAAAATCAGTCTTTGGAAGTTCTCAAAATGACTTCCTTGACAGTCCGAACACTAAGGAGCAGGTATTCATAGGTATTCTACATATTTGTATTGATCGTTTAGCTTTCCTATCAAATTATTCACAATACCTTAATCACAGGATCATAAAAAAAAAAAATCTCATAATGGAAATTCAATTCCTACACCTATTTCTTCTCACCATCAACCTTCCTTTGCGTTGAATAGAAAATAGTTCATGCCCTGGGAAGAATGCCCATGTTTTGAGGTCAAACGAGGTCAGAATACTCACCGGCACAGCAAACCTGACCACTTGGACACTGGCGACCAGGAATAATTCCAAAGGAGTTACAGTTACTTGTGACAATACATGAGATTCCGGTATCAGTGCAGGCTGAAAGAAAATGTTCATCAATGGAAATAGATCTGTTTTCTCGTTCTTTGGCGGAAATGTCCTTTTCATATTTTCTCACTAATGGGTTAAGAATGTACACTTTTTCACAAAACAAGACATTAAATAATCTGTTCTTAAGTTTATGGATGACTCCCTTTTCAAAAAGTGCCATAACTACAAAAGGCTTAATAATGAATGTCAGTATGAACCTTCTTGGGAATGTGAGGAAAAAGACAAAAGCCCTCTATTTTTATATGCACTACCGTGCCTGAAGAATGCTCATCAAAACTTTTGTAAGATTCATGGGACTTTCATTTTCATGCTGGATTTTATTATTATGTCTTTCAACATAACAAGACCCGAGCCGGAATAGTTCTTCAGCAACCCATGCTTGTCGTAAAAGACGACTATGCTTGTTGTAAGAGGCGACTAAAAGGATCCAGTGACCAGGCTCGCTGACTTGGTTGAATCATTTCATTGTGTCCAAATTGCGTGGGTTGATGCTCATGACGTCAATCACTGGATTGTCACGTCCAGACTCGATTATTTACAAACCCCCGTCGTATAGCTGGTATGTTGCTGAGTGCCGCGTTTAACAAGAAACAAACAAATAAAATATCTTTGTGCATTCAGCCCAAAACGTGGTGTATTCGGAAGGCAATTAAAATGATATGCACAGATTGAAACCATTTACTGATAATGATACCCATTTCCGAATTACTAAAGTTTATATTTTCTGGATTGTTTAAGTAACAATTGCATGTCAAGTTACCCGAGGAATATGTCCATCAACTATGACCAAGCAGATCCTGAAAATGAATCAAGTTAACTCAAATACTTCCTCAAAAGAATATCTCTATTGGGAAAAGACCCATGAACAGCCGGGATAGAATAGGTCTTCAGCAACCATGCTTGCTGTAAAAGGCGACTATGCTTGTTGTAAAATGCCACTTATGGGATCAGGTGGTCAGGCTCACTGACTTGCTGATGCATGTCATCGATACCTATCGCATGGATCGGTATTGATGACAATTGAATGGATCGGACCCGTGAAGATTCCGGGGTAGAATAGGTCTTCAGCATCCCATGCTTGCCGTAAAGGGCGACTATGCTTGTTGTAAAAGGCAACTAACGGGATCGGGTGGTCAGGCTCGCTGACTTGGTTGATACATCTCATCGATCCCAATTGCGTGGATCGATGCTCATGATATTAATCACTGGATTGTCTGGTCCAGATTCGATTATTTACAGACCGACGTCATATAGCTTGAATATTGCTGAGTGCCGCGTTAAACTAGAAACAAACAAATAAAATATCTTTGTGCATTCAGCCCAAAACGTGGTGTATTCGGAAGGCAATTTAAATTATATGCACAGATTGAAACCATTTACTGATAATGATACCCATTTCCGAATTACTAAAGTTTATATTTTCAGGATTGTTTAAGTAACAATTGCATGTCAAGTTACCCGAGGAATATGTCCATCAACTATGACCAAGCAGATCCTGAAAATGAATCAAGTTAACTCAAATACTTCCTCAAAAGAATATCTCTATTGGGAAAAGACCCATGAACAGCCGGGATAGAATAGGTCTTCAGCAACCATGCTTGCTGTAAAAGGCGACTATGCTTGTTGTAAAATGCCACTTATGGGATCAGGTGGTCAGGCTCACTGACTTGCTGATGCATGTCATCGATACCTATCGCATGGATCGGTATTGATGACAATTGAATGGCTCGGACCCGTGAAGATTCCGGGGTAGAATAGGTCTTCAGCATCCCATGCTTGCCGTAAAGGGCGACTATGCTTGTTGTAAAAGGCAACTAACGGGATCGGGTGGTCAGGCTCGCTGACTTGGTTGATACATCTCATCGATCCCAATTGCGTGGATCGATGCTCATGATATTAATCACTGGATTGTCTGGTCCAGATTCGATTATTTACAGACCGACGTCATATAGCTTGAATATTGCTGAGTGCCGCGTTAAACTAGAAACAAACAAATAAAATATCTTTGTGCATTCAGCCCAAAACGTGGTGTATTCGGAAGGCAATTTAAATTATATGCACAGATTGAAACCATTTACTGATAATGATACCCATTTCCGAATTACTAAAGTTTATATTTTCAGGATTGTTTAAGTAACAATTGCATGTCAAGTTACCCGAGGAATATGTCCATCAACTATGACCAAGCAGATCCTGAAAATGAATCAAGTTAACTCAAATACTTCCTCAAAAGAATATCTCTATTGGGAAAAGACCCATGAACAGCCGGGATAGAATAGGTCTTCAGCAACCATGCTTGCTGTAAAAGGCGACTATGCTTGTTGTAAAATGCCACTTATGGGATCAGGTGGTCAGGCTCACTGACTTGCTGATGCATGTCATCGATACCTATCGCATGGATCGGTATTGATGACAATTGAATGGCTCGGACCCGTGAAGATTCCGGGGTAGAATAGGTCTTCAGCATCCCATGCTTGCCGTAAAGGGCGACTATGCTTGTTGTAAAAGGCAACTAACGGGATCGGGTGGTCAGGCTCGCTGACTTGGTTGATACATGTCATCGATCCCAATTGCGTGGATCCATGCTCATGATATTAATCACTGGATTGTCTGGTCCAGATTCGATTATTTACAGACCGACGTCATATAGCTTGAATATTGCTGAGTGCCGCGTTAAACTAGAAACAAACAAATAAAATATCTTTGTGCATTCAGCCCAAAATGTGGTGTATTCGGAAGGCAATTAAAATGATATGCACAGATTGAAACCATTTACTGATAATGATACCCATTTCCGAATTACTAAAGTTTATATTTTCTGGATTGTTTAAGTAACAATTGCATGTCAAGTTACCCGAGGAATATGTCCATCAACTATGACCAAGCAGATCCTGAAAATGAATCAAGTTAACTCAAATTCCTCAAAAGAATATCTCTATTGGGAAAAGACCCATGAACAGCCGGGATAGAATAGGTCTTCAGCAACCATGCTTGCTGTAAAAGGCGACTATGCTTGTTGTAAAATGCCACTTATGGGATCAGGTGGTCAGGCTCACTGACTTGCTGATGCATGTCATCGATACCTATCGCATGGATCGGTATTGATGACAATTGAATGGATCGGACCCGTGAAGATTCCGGGGTAGAATAGGTCTTCAGCATCCCATGCTTGCCGTAAAGGGCGACTATGCTTGTTGTAAAAGGCAACTAACGGGATCGGGTGGTCAGGCTCGCTGACTTGGTTGATACATCTCATCAATCCCAATTGCGTGGATCGATGCTCATGATATTAATCACTGGATTGTCTGGTCCAGATTCGATTATTTACAGACCTACGTCATATAGCTTGAATATTGCTGAGTGCTGCGTTAAACAACACACCAACCAACAGCATGGATCGATGCTCATGATGTCAATCACTGGGTTGTCTCGTCCAGACTTTTTTATTTACCGACCGCCGTCATATAGCTGGAAAATTGCTGAGTGCGGCGTTAAAAAAACAAACAAAACAAATCTATTGGGAAATACATGCTGACAAATTCAGAAGCACCTGAATTTCCTACTTAAACATAGTCGGTGGACTTGACCATAGTGGACTGCATATTAATTCATACCACTTACGTTGAAGTGTTGTTGTTGCTAAAGTCGTTGTTGCTAAGGTCGTTGTGGCTAAAGTCGTTGTTGCTACGGTCGTTGCGGCTACGGTCGTTGTTGCTAAGGTCGTTGTTGCTAAAGTAAGGGCATCTGAAACAGAACAATTGATGTCATGAAAATACAGCTCTATTGAAGAAATAAAGTTTGCTCTATCCCCATGTACAGTTTAATATGAATAGTTTTGGCGTGTTCTATTACAGTTGAAGCACCAGTGCACTTACGCCCGAGTGCTTTGACGCCATAATAGCTCAAAGCAAAACTTTTCTTTTTTACAATATACAAAGGGGTAGAGCAAACTTTATTATGTTTCTAAGAAGCTGAAATTAAGACTCATCTTGTGTTTTATTAGAGATGGGTTTAAAAAGAATCCTGTAATGAGCATCGCCCTAAAATCCACGAACAGGGCTTACTGACGGGCTGTTTTATCTAATTCCCTGCACCCTTACGTCAAGAGGCATATTTACGTTTTAAGCACATCACAACACCACTAAAATAGGTTCTTTATTATTGAAATAGGTCCCACTTCATTATCCATTCAATGTGTGATTATCCATAAACCCATGCAGCAATAAAAAATTAAAAAATTAGTTTTTATATTAATTTGCTTCAATTTTATCATGTGACTCGAACCATTCTACAAGTGCATTGTGTGGTCGAGCTAACACGTAAACATAGCCGAAGTTCAGTGTTGCTGTTTATTCCGAGCAGAGGTGTTTGGTACAAGTGTCAACATTGTTTCCGCAACTATTGTTAGCAGAGTGCAGCAACTGGAAGCCATGATATAGTGTGCTTACCGAGCTGCATGCGCTACATGATAAACCAACGTGAATCTACGAGCAGTGGCTCGTGATATGGTGTCATTATGGGACAAACATGGCATAGGAAGAGCAACAGTAGGCGTTTTACGTGACTGGTGTATATTGCTAAATGCCGTATGCTGAGCAACAAGTGAACATGTGGTTATGAAACTTTTTAAGGATTGCTTATTCCTTTGTCCTGAGAGGCATACATAATTTGTAGGGCACGAACACCCGCCTCAGACATGTCTTTCACTCTTAAATTGAAAAACATACCAGCTGTCACATCACCTATGCTTAGGATCCACAATATGGCCAACATAAAGAACGAAGTAAGGATAAGAATTTATGGATGAACAACTTCTCTATTACAATTTAAGAGGGACGTTTCGGTGTAGGTTCTAACACCGTTATCAAGCAAGTGAACCTTCACCGAAAACGTCCCTCTAAATTGTAATAAAGAAGTTGTTCATCCATAAATTCTTATCCTTACTTAGAACTCCAACTTCAAAAGGACTATCAAAGAAGTTAAAACAAAGAACAAATATAGACAGGTTTATACATACAAACTAGAAATATAGCAAATTTCATTATATTTTAAAACAAATTACTCTATAATGAAAATCAGTCTTTGGAAGTTTTCAAAATGACTTCCTTGACAGTTCGAACACTAAGGAGCAGGTATTCATAGGTATTCTACATATTTGTATTGATCGTTTAGCTTTCCTATCAAATTATTCACAATACCTTAATCACAGGATCATAAAAAAAACAAATCTCATAATGGAAATTCAATTCCTACATCTATTTCTTCTCACCATCAACCTTCCTTTGCGTTGAATAGAAAATAGTTCATGCCCTTGGAAGAATGCCCATGTTTTGAGGTCAAACGAGGTCAGAATACTCACCGACACAGCAAACCTGACCACTTGGACACTGGCGACCAGGAATAATTCCAAAGGAGTTACAGTTACTAGTGACAACACATGAGATTCCGGTATCAGTGCAGGCTGAAAGAAAATGTTCATCAATGGAAATAGATCTGTTTTCTCGTTCTTTGGCGGAAATGTCCTTTTCATATTTTTCACATATGTGTTAAGAATGTACACTTTTTCACAAAACAAGATATTAAATAATCTGTTCTTAAGTTTATGGATGACTCCCTTTTCAAAAAGTGCCATAACTACAACAGGCTTAATAATGAATGTCAGTATGAGCCTTCTTGGGAATGTGAGGAAAAAGACAAAAGCCCTCTATTTTTATATGCACTACCGTGCCTGAAGAATGCTCATCAAAACTTTTGTAAGATTCATGGGACTTTCATTTTCATGCTGGGTTTTATTATTATGTTTTTCAACATAACAAGACCCGGGCCGGAATAGTTCTTCAGCAACCCATGCTTGTCGTAAAAGATGACTATGCTTGTTGTAAGAGGCGACTAAAAGGATCCAGTGACCAGGCTCGCTGACTTGGTTGAATCATGTCATTGTGTCCAAATTGTGTGGGTTGATGCGTCAATCACTGGAATGTCACGTCCAGACTCGATTATTTACTCGATTATTTACAAACCCCCGTCGTATAGCTGGTATATTGCTGAGTGCCGCGTTAAACAAGAAACAAACAAATATTATATTTTTGTGCATTCAGCCCAAAACGTGGTGTATTCGGAAGGCAATTAAAATGATATGCACAGATTGAAACTATTTACTGATAATGATACCCATTTCCGAATTACTAAAGTTTATATTTTTTGGATTGTTTAAGTAACAATTGCATGTCAAGTTACCCGAGGAATATGTCCATCAACTATGACCAAGCAGATGCTGAAAATGAATCAAGTTAACTCAAATACTTCCTCAATAGAATATCTCTATTGGGAAAAGACCCATGAACAGCGGGATAGAATAGGTCTTTAGCAACCATGCTTGCTTTTAAAGGCGACTATGCTTGTTGTAAAAGGCGACTAATGGGATTGGGTGGTCAGGCTCACTGACTTGCTGATGCATGTCATTGATACCTATCGCATGGATCGGTATTGATAACAAGTGAATGGATCAGACCCGTGAAGATTCCGGGCTAGAATAGGTCTTCAGCATCCCATGCTTGCCGTAAAGGGCGACTATGCTTGTTGTAAAATGCAACTAATGGGATCAGGTGGTCAGGCTCGCTGACTTGGTTGATACATGTCATCGATCCCAATTGCGTGGATCGATGCTCATGATATTAACCACTGGATTGTCTGGTCAAGACTCGATTATTTGCAGACCGCCGTCATATAGCTTGAATATTGCTGAGTGCGGCGTTAAACAACACACCAACCAACAGCATGGATCGATGCTCATGATGTCAATCACTGGATGGTCTCGTCCAGACTCGATTATTTACAGACCGCCGTCATAAAGCTAGAATAATGCTGAGTGCGGCGTTAAAAAACAAACAAAACAAATCTATTGGGAAATACATGCTGACAAATTCAGAAGCGCCTGAATTTCCTACTTAAACATAGTCGGTGGACTTGACCATAGTCGACTGCATATTAATTCATACCACTTACGTTGAAGTGTTGTTGTTGCTAAAGTCGTTGTTGCTAAGGTCGTTGTTGCTAAGGTCGTTGTTGCTAAAGTCGTTGCTGCTAAGGTCGTTGTTGCTAAGGTCGTTGTTGCTATAGTAAGGGCATCTGAAACAGAACAATTGATGTCATGAAAATACAGCTCTATTGAAGAAATAATGTTTGCTCTATCCCCATGTACAGTTTAATAAGAATAGGTTTGGCATGTACTTTTACAGTTGAAGCACCAGTGTACTTACGCCCGAGTGCTTTGACGCCATAATAGCTCAAGGCAAAACTATTCTTTTAAACAATATACAAAGGGGTAGAGCAAACTTTATTATGTTTCTAAGAAGCTGAAATTAAGACTCATCTTGTGTTTCATTAGAGATGTGTTTAAAAAGAATCCTGTAATGAGCGGCGCCCTAAAATCCACGAACAGGGCTAACTGACGGGCTGTTTCATCTAATTGCCTGCACCCTTACGTCAAGAGGCATATTTACGTTTTAAGCACAACACAACACCACTAAAATAGGTTCTTTATTATTGAAATAGGTCCCACTTCATTATCCATTCAATGTGTGATTATCCATAAACCCATGCAGCAATAAAAAAAAAAAATAAGATTTTATATTAATTTGCTTCAATTTTATCATGTGACTCGAACCATTCTACATCTGCATTGTGTGGTCGAGCTAACATGTAAACATAGCCGAAGTTCAGTGTTGCTGTTTATTGGGAGCAGAGGTGTTTTGTACAAGTGTCAACATTGTTTCCGCCACTATTGTTAGCAGAGTGCAGCAACTGCAAGACATGAAAAAGTGTGCTTACCGAGCTGCTTGTGCTACATGATGACGTAACGTGTAAACCAACGTGAATTGACGACCAGTGTCATCATGGGACGAACACTGCATAGGAAGAGCAACAGTAGCCGTTTTGTTTAACTGGTGTATATTGCTAAATGCCGTATGCTGAGCAACAAGTGTACATATGGTTATGAAACTTTTTAAGGATTGCTTATTCCTTTGTCCTGAGAGGCATACATAATTTGTAGGGCACGAACACCCGCCTCAGACATGTCTTTCACTCTTAAATTGAAAAACATACCAGCTGTCACATAACCTATGCTTAGGATCCACAATATGGCCAACATAAAGAACGAAGTAAGGATAAGAATTTATGGATGAACAACTTCTTTATTACAATTTAAGAGCGACGTTTCGGTGTAGGTTCTAACACCGTTATCAAGCAAGTGAACCTTCACCGAAAAAGTCCCTCTAAATTGTAATAAAGAAGTTGTTCATCCATAAATTCTTATCCTTACTTAGAACTCCAACTTCAAAAGGACTATCAAAGAAGTTAAAACAAAGAACAAATATAGACAGGTTTATACATACAAACTAGAAATATAGCAAATTTCATTATATTTTAAAACAAATTACTCTATAATGAAAATCAGTCTTTGGAAGTTCTCAAAATGACTTCCTTGACAGTCCGAACACTAAGGAGCAGGTATTCATAGGTATTCTACATTTTTGTATTGATCGTTTAGCTTTCCTATCAAATTATTCACAATACCTTAATCACAGGATCATTAAAAAAAACAAATCTCATAATGGAAATTCAATTCCTACATCTATTTCTTCTCACCATCAACCGTCCTTTGCGTTGAATAGAAAATAGTTCATGCCCTGGGAAGAATGCCCATGTTTTGAGGTCAAACGAGGTCAGAATACTCACCGACACAGCAAACCTGACCACTTGGACACTGGCGACCAGGAATAATTCCAAAGGAGTTACAGTTACTAGTGACAACACATGAGATTCCGGTATCAGTGCAGGCTGAAAGAAAATGTTCATCAATGGAAATAGATCTGTTTTCTCGTTCTTTGGCGGAAATGTCCTTTTCATATTTTTCACATATGTGTTAAGAATGTACACTTTTTCACAAAACAAGATATTAAATAATCTGTTCTTAAGTTTATGGATGACTCCCTTTTCAGAAAGTGCCATAACTACAACAGGCTTAATAATGAATGTCAGTATGAACCTTCTTGGGAATGTGAGGGAAAAGACAAAAGCCCTCTATTTTTATATGCACTACCGTGCCTGAAGAATGCTCATCAAAACTTTTGTAAGATTCATGGGACTTTCATTTTCATGCTGGGTTTTATTGTTATGTTTTTCAACATAACAAGACCCGGGCCGGAATAGTTCTTCAGCAACCCATGCTTGTCGTAAAAGATGACTATGCTTGTTGTAAGAGGTGACTAAAAGGATCCAGTGACCAGGCTCGCTGACTTGGTTGAATCATGGCATTGTGTCCAAATTGTGTGGGTTGATGCTCACGACGTCAATCACTGGAATGTCACGTCCAGACTCGATTATTTACAAACCCCCGTCGTATAGCTGGTATATTGCTGAGTGCCACGTTAAACAAGAAACAAACAAATATTATATTTTTGTGCATTCAGCCCAAAACGTGGTGTATTCGGAAGGCAATTAAAATGATATGAACAGATTGAAACCATTCACTGATAATGATACCCATTTCCGAATTACTAAAGTTTATATTTTCTGGATTGTTTAAGTAACAATTGCATGTCAAGTTACCCGAGGAATATGTCCATCAACTATGACCGAGCAGATCCTGAAAATGAATCAAGTTAACTCAAATACTTCCTCAAAAGAATATCTCTATTGGGAAAAGACCCATGAACAGCCGGGATAGAATAGGTCTTTAGCAACCATGCTTGCTTTTAAAGGCGACTATGCTTGTTGTAAAAGGCGACTAATGGGATTGGGTGGTCAGGCTCACTGACTTGCTGATGCATGTCATTGATACCTATCGCATGGATCGGTACTGATAACAATTGAATGGATCGAACCGTGAAGATTCCGGGCTATAATAGGTCTTCAGCATCCCATGCTTGCCGTAAAGGGCGACTATGCTTGTTGTAAAATGCAACTAAAGGGATCGGGTGGTCAGGCTCGCTGACTTGGTTGATACATGTCATCGATCCCAATTGCGTGGATCGATGCTCATGATATTAATCACTGGATTGTCTGGTCCAGACTCGATTATTTGCAGACCGACGTCATATAGCTTGAATATTGCTGAGTGCGGCGTTAAACAACACACCAACCAACAGCATGGATCGACACTCATGATGTCAATCACTGGATTGTCTCGTCCAGACTCGATTATTTACAGACCGCCGTCATAAAGCTAGAATAATGCTGAGTGCGGCATTAAAAAACAAACAAAACAAATCTATTGGGAAATAATTCAGAAGCGCCTGAATTTCCTACTTAAACATAGTCGGTGGACTTGACCATAGTGGACTGCATATTAATTCATACCACTTACGTTGAAGTGTTGTTGTTGCTAAAGTCGTTGTTGCTAAGGTCGTTGTTGCTAAGGTCGTTGTTGCTAAAGTCGTTGCTGCTAAGGTCGTTGTTGCTAAGGTCGTTGTTGCTATAGTAAGGGCATCTGAAACAGAACAATTGATGTCATGAAAATACAGCTCTATTGAAGAAATAATGTTTGCTCTATCCCCATGTACAGTTTAATAAGAATAGGTTTGGCATGTACTTTTACAGTTGAAGCACCAGTGCACTTACGCCCGAGTGCTTTGACGCCATAATAGCTCAAGGCAAAACTATTCTTTTAAACAATATACAAAGGGGTAGAGCAAACTTTATTATGTTTCTAAGAAGCTGAAATTAAGACTCATCTTGTGTTTCATTAGAGATGTGTTTAAAAAGAATCCTGTAATGAGCGGCGCCCTAAAATCCACGAACAGGGCTAACTGACGGGCTGTTTCATCTAATTGCCTGCACCCTTACGTCAAGAGGCATATTTACGTTTTAAGCACAACACAACACCACTAAAATAGGTTCTTTATTATTGAAATAGGTCCCACTTCATTATCCATTCAATGTGTGATTATCCATAAACCCATGCAGCAATAAAAAAAAAAAATAAGATTTTATATTAATTTGCTTCAATTTTATCATGTGACTCGAACCATTCTACATCTGCATTGTGTGGTCGAGCTAACATGTAAACATAGCCGAAGTTCAGTGTTGCTGTTTATTGGGAGCAGAGGTGTTTTGTACAAGTGTCAACATTGTTTCCGCCACTATTGTTAGCAGAGTGCAGCAACGGCAAGACACGAAATAGTGTGCTTACCGAGCTGCTTGTGCTACATGATAACGTAACGTGTAAACCAACGTGAATTGACGACCAGTGCAAAATGGGACGAACATTGCATAGGAAGACCAACAGTAGCCGTTTTGTTTAACTGGTGTATATTGCTAAATGCCGTATGCTGAGCAACAAGTGTACATATGGTTATGAAACTTTTTAAGGATTGCTTATTCCTTTGTCCTGAGAGGCATACATAATTTGTAGGGCACGAACACCCGCCTCAGACATGTCTTTCACTCTTAAATTGAAAAACATACCAGCTGTCACATAACCTATGCTTAGGATCCACAATATGGCCAACATAAAGAACGAAGTAAGGATAAGAATTTATGGATGAACAACTTCTTTATTACAATTTAAGAGCGACGTTTCGGTGTAGGTTCTAACACCGTTATCAAGCAAGTGAACCTTCACCGAAAACGTCCCTCTAAATTGTAATAAAGAAGTTGTTCATCCATAAATTCTTATCCTTACTTAGAACTCCAACTTCAAAAGGACTATCAAAGAAGTTAAAACAAAGAACAAATATAGACAGGTTTATACATACAAACTAGAAATATAGCAAATTTCATTATATTTTAAAACAAATTACTCTATAATGAAAATCAGTCTTTGGAAGTTTTCAAAATGACTTCCTTGACAGTTCGAACACTAAGGAGCAGGTATTCATAGGTATTCTACATTTTTGTATTGATCGTTTAGCTTTCCTATCAAATTATTCACAATACCTTAATCACAGGATCATTAAAAAAAACAAATCTCATAATGGAAATTCAATTCCTACATCTATTTCTTCTCACCATCAACCGTCCTTTGCTTTGAATAGAAAATAGTTCATGCCCTGGGAAGAATGCCCATGTTTTGAGGTCAAACGAGGTCAGAATACTCACCGACACAGCAAACCTGACCACTTGGACACTGGCGACCAGGAATAATTCCAAAGGAGTTACAGTTACTAGTGACAACACATGAGATTCCGGTATCAGTGCAGGCTGAAAGAAAATGTTCATCAATGGAAATAGATCTGTTTTTTCGTTCTTTGGCGGAAATGTCCTTTTCATATTTTTCACATATGTGTTAAGAATGTACACTTTTTCACAAAACAAGATATTAAATAATCTGTTCTTAAGTTTATGGATGACTCCCTTTTCAGAAAGTGCCATAACTACAACAGGCTTAATAATGAATGTCAGTATGAACCTTCTTGGGAATGTGAGGGAAAAGACAAAAGCCCTCTATTTTTATATGCACTACCGTGCCTGAAGAATGCTCATCAAAACTTTTGTAAGATTCATGGGACTTTCATTTTCATGCTGGGTTTTATTGTTATGTTTTTCAACATAACAAGACCCGGGCCGGAATAGTTCTTCAGCAACCCATGCTTGTCGTAAAAGATGACTATGCTTGTTGTAAGAGGTGACTAAAAGGATCCAGTGACCAGGCTCGCTGACTTGGTTGAATCATGGCATTGTGTCCAAATTGTGTGGGTTGATGCTCACGACGTCAATCACTGGAATGTCACGTCCAGACTCGATTATTTACAAACCCCCGTCGTATAGCTGGTATATTGCTGAGTGCCACGTTAAACAAGAAACAAACAAATATTATATTTTTGTGCATTCAGCCCAAAACGTGGTGTATTCGGAAGGCAATTAAAATGATATGAACAGATTGAAACCATTCACTGATAATGATACCCATTTCCGAATTACTAAAGTTTATATTTTCTGGATTGTTTAAGTAACAATTGCATGTCAAGTTACCCGAGGAATATGTCCATCAACTATGACCGAGCAGATCCTGAAAATGAATCAAGTTAACTCAAATACTTCCTCAAAAGAATATCTCTATTGGGAAAAGACCCATGAACAGCCGGGATAGAATAGGTCTTTAGCAACCATGCTTGCTTTTAAAGGCGACTATGCTTGTTGTAAAAGGCGACTAATGGGATTGGGTGGTCAGGCTCACTGACTTGCTGATGCATGTCATTGATACCTATCGCATGGATCGGTACTGATAACAATTGAATGGATCGAACCCGTGAAGATTCCGGGCTAGAATAGGTCTTCAGCATCCCATGCTTGCCGTAAAGGGCGACTATGCTTGTTGTAAAATGCAACTAACGGGATCGGGTGGTCAGGCTCGCTGACTTGGTTGATACATGTCATCGATCCCAATTGCGTGGATCGATGCTCATGATATTAATCACTGGATTGTCTGGTCCAGACTCGATTATTTGCAGACCGACGTCATATAGCTTGAATATTGCTGAGTGCGGCGTTAAACAACACACCAACCAACAGCATGGATCGACACTCATGATGTCAATCACTGGATTGTCTCGTCCAGACTCGATTATTTACAGACCGCCGTCATAAAGCTAGAATAATGCTGAGTGCGGCGTTAAAAAACAAACAAAACAAATCTATTGGGAAATACATGCTGACAAATTCAGAAGCGCCTGAATTTCCTACTTAAACATAGTCGGTGGACTTGACCATAGTGGACTGCATATTAATTCATACCACTTACGTTGAAGTGTTGTTGTTGCTAAAGTCGTTGTTGCTAAGGTCGTTGTTGCTAAAGTAAGGGCATCTGAAACAGAACAATTGATGTCATGAAAATACAGCTCTATTGAAGAAATAGAGTTTGCTCTATCCCCATGTACAGTTTAATAAGAATAGGTTTGGCGTGTACTTTTACATTTGAAGCACCAGTGCACTTACGCCCGAGTGCTTTGACGCCATAATAGCTCAAGGCAAAACTATTCTTTTAAACAATATACAAAGAGGTAGAGCAAACTTTATTATGTTTCTAAGATGCTGAAATTAAGACTCATCTTGTGTTTTATTAGAGATGGGTTTAAAAAGAATCCTGTAATGAGCGGCGCCCTAAAATCCACGAACAGGGCTAACTGACGGGCTGTTTCATCTAATTGCCTGCACCCTTACGTCAAGAGGCATATTTACGTTTTAAGCACAACACAACACCACTAAAATAGGTTCTTTATTATTGAAATAGGTCCCACTTCATTATCCATTCAATGTGTGATTATCCATAAACCCATGCACCAATGAGACGTTTTTAAATTTAACTTTTTGTATTAATTTGCTTCAATTTCATCATCTGACTCGAACGATTCTACAAGTGCATTGTGTGGTCGAGCTAACATGTAAACATAGCCAAAGTTCGGTGTTCCTGTTTATTGTGAGCAGAGGTGTTTTGTATCAGTTGCACCTATGTTTCCGCCACTATTGTTAGCAGAGTGCAGCAACTGGAAGCCATGATATAGTGTGCTTACCGAGCTGCATGCGCTACATGATAAACCAACGTGAATCTACGAGCAGTGGCTCGTGATATGGTGTCATTATGGGACAAACATGGCATAGGAAGAGCAACAGTAGGCGTTTTACGTGACTGGTGTATATTGCTAAATTCCATATGCTGAGGAACATGTGTACATGTGGTTATGAAACTTTTTAAGGATTGCTTATTCCTTTGTCCTATAGAGACATACATAATTTGTAGGGCACGAACACCCGCCTAAGACATGTCTTTTACTCTTAAAATGAAAAACATACCAGCTGACACATAACCTTTCCTTAGGATTCTCAATATGGCCAACACAAAGAACAAATATAGACAGGTTTATACATTCAAACTAGAATTATGGCATATTTCATTATATACTAGCCACATTAAGAAACTGTGCACGGAGAAAATATAGATATAAGGGCACACCGTCCATATATGAAATATAGGTTTGAACACAGCAATTATTGGAGACATTCAAACGCTCATGCACGTGCCATGCGATATGACGTCATTGATTTGGGCCTATGGACGTGCAATGTGTTACTGCACGTGCATCCTGTGCAGCTGTACACAGCATGTGCAACTCAAAATTTGCTGTCACTTTGGAAAGCATGATCTGTGGTCATTCAAAAATTCAAAACTTCTCAGGCGCAGACACAAGCATATCACAAGCAAATCATGCCAAGATTGACAGCTGCACAGCGTCATGAAGCCATTGGAATGATCCGAGCGGGAATGAGGCAACAACAGGTGGCAACACATTTCCAATGCCATCGTAACACGATATCGACATTGGTGAGGCGTTATCAGAACACAAATGACGTTGCCGACCACCCACGTTCAGGACGTCCCCGAGTAACGACACCAAGACAGGACAGATGGATTCGAGTTACACATCTCCGACACAGGTTCCAAGTGGCAGTAACGACGTCCTAGACAATTCCTGGACTGCGCCGTATCCATCCCAACACTGTCAGGAATCGTTAACGTCAGTACGAAATTCGACCACGACGCCCTGCCATACGTCCCATCCTGACACACCGTCATCGAGTCAACCATCTAAGATGGTGTCGAAATCATGTTCGCCAACCTCGAATATGGTGGAGAAATGTTGTCTTTACAGACGAATCGAGGTTCAACATTTCCCACAGTGACGGGCGCCAACGTGTCTACCGGCGTTTGGGAGAACGTTATGCACGCAACTGTATTGTGGAGAGGAATCGTTTTGGAGGTGGCTCTGTGATGATTTGGGGTGGGATAACAGCACGGCACCGAACCCCTTTGGTGGTTGTTCAGGGCAATCTCTGCGTCGTCTTCCACATCCTCCAGATAACGTCCGTGACTTGGCACAGGATTTGAGGAGGATATGGCAGGCCATTCCCAAGGCCTTCCATGCCCATTTGGTGGACTCCATGCGTCGCCGATGCACTGCTGTGATTCACGCACAGGGTGGTCATACCCGTTATTGACTTTGTGAGTTTGTCGTTTAACCCCCTACTCCATTTTGATCTTCTGACGTCATCGTAACAGATGTTGTTCAGGTCCCGTTCACATTTTCTTATGCTCCGATCATACAGATGCTACAGCGTCTGCATCATTTTGTTCTTGCTGTGTTGTATTTCAATCCAGAATATATTTTCTCCGTGCACAGTTTCTTTATGTCGCTAGTATAGTTCAAAACAATTACTGTATAATGACAATCAGTCTTTGGAAGTTCTCAAAATGACTTTCTTGACAGTTGGACCACTAAGGAGCAGGTATTGACAAGTTATCTACATGTTTGTATGGATCGTTTAGCTTTCCTTTACAATTATTCACAATTCCTTGATCACAGGATCACAAAAAACAAATCTTAAAATTGAATGGAATTCCTACATCTATTTCTTCTCATCATTAACCTTCCTTTGCGTTGAAAAGAAAATAGTTCACGCCCTGGGAAGAATGCCCAAGTTTTGAGGTCAGAATACTCACCGACACAGCAAACCTGACCACTTGGACACTGGCGACTAGTAATAATTCCAACGGAGTTACAGCTACTCGTGACAATACATGAGATTCCAGCATCAGTGCAGGCTGAAGGAAAACGTTCATCAATGGAAATAGATCTGTTTTCTCGTTCTTTGACGGAAATATCCTTTTCATATTTTTGTCACAATTGTCCTAATTGCGTGGATTGATGCTCATGATGTCAATCACTGGATTGTCTGGTCGAGACTCAATTATTTACAAACCGCCGTCATATAGCTGGAATATTGCTCAGTGCCGTGTTAATCAAGAAACAAACAAATATTATATGTTTGTGCATTCAGTCCAAAACGTGGTGTATTCGGAAGGCAATTAAAATGATATGCACAGATTGAAACCATTTAATGATAATGATAACAATTTCCGAATTACTAAAGTTTATATTTTCTGGATTGTTTAAGTAACAATTGCATGTCAAGTTACCCGAGGAATATGTCCATCTACTATGACCAAGCAGATCCTGAAAATGAATCAAGTTAACTCAAATATCTCCTCAAAAGAATATCTCTGTTGGGAAAAGACCAATGAAGATCTGGGATAGAATAGGTCTTCAGCACCCATTCTTGCCGTAAAAGGTGAAAATGCTTGTTGTACGAGGCGACAAACAGGATCAGGTGGTCAGGCTCACTGACTTGTTTGATGCATGTCATTGATCCCAAATCGCGTGGATCGATGCTCATGATGTCAATCACTGGATTGTCTCGTCCAGACTCGATTATTTACAGTCCGCCGTCATAAAGCTGGAATATTGCTGAGTGCAGCGTTAAACAATAAACAAAACAAATCTATTGGGAAATACATGCTAACGAATTCAGAAGCGCCTGAATTTCCTACTTAGACATAGTTGGTGGACTTTACCATAGTCGACTGGATAATAATTCATACCACTTACGTTGAAGTGTTGTTGTTGCTAAGATCGTTGTTGCTATCGTCGTTGTTGCTAAGGTCGTTGTTGCTACGGTCGTTGCTGCTAAGGTCGTTGGATTTTTTTCATATTTAGTGTGGGTGCATTTTATAAGCTTTTTCGTAATTCTCAATGGAATATCTCTTTAGCTGAAGTGTTTCTTTAAATTATCATCTCTTTTTGCAACAGCATGATCACAAATTCAGAACGGCTTGTCCACAGCATATTATCTCATAAACTTACGTGGAATGGTTGTTGTTGTTGCCAGAGTAAGGTTTGTTTGTTTGTTGTTTTACGCCGCATTCGGTAATATTCCAGCTGTATGACGGCGGTCTGTAATTAATCGAGTCTGGACCTGACAATCATCAGACATGCATCACCCAAGTCAGCGAGTCTGACCACCCCATCCCGTTAATCGCCTTTTACGACAGGAATAGCAAGAACAACAACCAAAACGAATCTATTGGGAAAAACATGGTGACCAATTCAGAAGGGCTTGATTTTCCAACTTAAACATAGTCGGTGGACTTTACCATAATCGACTGCATATTAATTCATACCACTTACGTTGAAGGGTCGTTGTTGCTAAGGTCGTTGTTGTTGGTAATGTAAGGGCATCTGAAACAGTAAAATTGATGTTATGAAAATACACCTATATTGTTAAGTAATGGTTTACAATTAAAGGTATTTCTAATTGCTTACAGTGAGCCAAGAAAGTCTTGCATATTTGGCCTAAAACCTGTTCACAATAAATATACATAAAGGGTGCTTATGTACAGATGCTATTCTTTCAGATGGAATGTAGTTTCCTGAAGTCGTTGTTTGAGAGCTTTTCAAAGGCATTTAGAAGTGATACACATGAGGAAGAGGCTTTATGGATGTCAACTTCTTAATTATGAGGAACACAACGTTTCGGACTATATGCTTGCTCCTTCATGAGGTGAATGCTATGAGGCAAAGTGCATATGTATGTATGTATGTAAGAACAACAAAAGTAATAAGATAACAAAAGGTGGAAACTTAACAAGGGAGGCCAACATTTAATTTTCGCTGATAGGTGATTAGCAATAGACAATGGAAGTCAACACTTTACAGCAATTGGCGCTGATAGTTATGGACAACTGGAAACCAGGACTTAAATTATCACTGATTGGTAATTGGCAATGGGCAAACCGGAGGCCGGGGGTAATTAGCACTGATAGGTAAAAGAAAAGCAATAGCAATGAGCAAATAGAAGCCAGATAGATTATTAGCAACGACAAAGATCAAAGCAATAAGTCCCAAGCATTAGGCAGACAGGTTCCTTGGTCACAGTTCATGGCTAGCTGGTGTCTCCTTCTTTAAATGGTTTCTTGTAGTTTTCTTTGCCAACCTAATCTCCAAAACCATCCACAAGAGTGAGTGAGTGATTGAGTGAGTGAGTGACAATTTGACGTCGCATCGGCATTATCTCAGCCATGTAGCGACGAGACCAAGTTAAAATTTTTACAATTTAGTCATTAATGCAAAGTTCTGTTTAAAAACAATTTGTAAAAACATATTTGAGCATTCTATATTTAGAAACAATTCATGAATCATATTTGAGCATGACAATATTATATATACAGTTTTAAAACACGGGCTATAGGCCACCAGTAACCAAAGCTAGACCACCTCGCTGGGGATCATGGGGACTTACAGTACCTCTGCTTCCTGCATGATACCCCAGCAGGATTTACGTCATCACTTTAGCCACTGGTGGTTGTGCACAATGCTAGCCAATATTAAAAAATACTCCTCGATGAGTTGGCTTAAAAACACTGGTTGATGATAGTTACATTGATTATAAAAGGATTACGTGTCACACAGGGGGGCAATATGTTTACGCTATGTTAAGCTCCTGGACAGAGCCTTCAATAATGTCTGTTAATAGTAGCATCACACAAAAGTTATGAACAAGCATTTAATTATTCACATACATATTTAAAATTTATTATACAGACAAATTTCTTTCGCGTAGTTTATGATGAGATGCCCCGCTGACACGGGAAAAGAGATCTCTCAGATTTACACTTTGATAATGTGAATCCCTTGCGTTTTCAAAGTCCACACAGTCAAGCAATATATGCTTGACGGTGAACCTTTCATCACAAAGGATACACTTAGGAGGTTCGTCCTCATCTGTCTTAAGCAGATACTCAAGTGTAAACCGACTGTGGCCAATACGACATCGTCGTAAATCGACCTCGTCGTGTCTTGACTGACAACCCAAGTACACTACTGCCTAGAAGTCCATTCCCCTTACACGCATGGGCAACGCGTTACGCATCCCGCGTGCACCCCGTTGGTCACTCGTGTGGAACCCGTCCGCCACGTGTGTGATACCCATGTGCAACCCGTTCGTCACTCGTATGCAACGCGTGACACACTCATTAGAGGGGGGCACAAACTTTTGACCCATGTAAGCTGAACTTGGTGGTGGTAACAAGGAGAGGCATTTTTGATATCCTGACGAAAAATGCTAATACATATGTTATTTTCTGTACTTGCTGATATCTCATTTTTAGATGTGTGAATTTGAAAGAAAATATGAGTACTGGTGTGGCTTCTACATGGTAGTTTGCGATGGTGTCAAGAGAATACATGATCATAGTAAATGTTATTGCCATTCAAATGGTTTTTTTTCTGATTTGACATTTAATGTCTGTAGTACGACTTTCAGTGATTATGTATATGAGGTTTTGCGGGGATTTGTTTTTATTGGACCCTAATTATTTTATGATAGTTGGGTCTCTTTGTCTCAGCTCCATAGCCGTGACGCTGGAAAAGAGCAGCATTTAATTAATGAGAGTAGGTTATATCATGGTGGATACACTTGAGGGAGAGGGTTCTACTAATTACCATACCACAGTAAGAGACCTGTAGACGTGAGCGCGGGATTGTGTGTAAGATGGCCGTTGCATAATGGCCGGCAGGAGAAGTAAACATTGAGCTAAAGCACTTTTGTTTACACGGGCTTGTTGAATAGTTTCCCAGCGCTACTGTCAATATATCTTCTACTTGATCCCTGATACAACATTTTCGCATTAACAATATATTATTTTCAACGTACATTCTTAGTTTACTAGTCATTTGTTTTTGCATATTTGTCAATTGTGTTTAGCTAACAAGCAATAATGGTAATATATGGTTACATGTAAATATGAAACGTCTCACGTAAAACGTAGTAAGTACAATAGTAAAAATAAATATTCAAATCGCATAAAAATACTATTATAACAAGATACATATGTAATTATAAAACCTGTGTTCCACATTCAGAGGCAGGTGGAAAACTGATTATATAAAGGGAAGAAGCTTGCCCTTGCATATTTGTTGATACATCGACTGAATATGACTATATATGTAAATGTTAACATACTGTACCTATCTACACGAACTGTTAAAACATTGGCATAAGGTCACGGAGACGAAGGTTAGAGATATCATACCTTGTTCGATTTTTTAGATGATAAAGTACATTATTTGATAAATTCTGTTTTTGATATCGATTTGCGGTATCAATAAACATTTCATGGTATAATAAAATCATATTTGTGATATAAATTCATTCTTTGGTACCCATAAGTGAATAATTGATATAAACTATGGAATAAATAGTAAAAAGGCGCCCTATATTGGATTGGATTGAGTAACGCGATTGCATCACGGTTATAGTGTTAATTGCTTGTCTTTTTTCTGCACCATCATTTCTGTCATCTTTTCAAAAACTGTTTACAAAATGGCAACTTATGATTAACCAATGAAATTATACTGACCCGACCTGCGTTTATTCATCTCTGTCATTATTATCGTTAACATGTGTCTAGTTGTATGTGTATATACTTATACTATACATCGTACTGATTAAGGAATGACACAACATCGCAACAACTTATATATACATGTAGCACAATGGTCCTTTGATTCTGTAGCACAAAAAACATCACCCTGAATTACTGTGTAACGGTTAACCCGTTGTTTTCAGACGTTCAGATAAATCAGGTGTGACAGTTACCGGTTATCAAAGAGTTGATACATACTGACTTCCTACCTATTCAGTATGATAACGTATGATTACATGGCTGTGTGTGTGTGTGTGTGTGTGTGTGTGTGTGTGTGTGTGTGTGTGTGTGTGTGTGTGTGTGTGTGTGTGTGTGTGTGTTTGCGTGTGTGCGTGTGTGTGGGTGGTTGTGTGTGTGTATGTGTGTGTCGACGAAATGCAAGACTGTTAAGTCGACGTAAAAGATATAATTGATGATGATAATATATGAATGTTATCGTAACAAGCGCAGCGTGTGGAGATAGATTAAAATACGTTGGACACAGTAACATGTGTCACCTTTTGAAACGGTAAAATTAGATACATTTCAGGATTGCATCTAAAGATGCGGCATTGGGGCACTGCCGCTTAAATACATAAAATGTCGCAAAAAATAAAATTGAGTGCGGCAGGGGTGCCGCAAAATTACTTTAAATGCCGCGAAATTTAATTGAAAGTGGGGCATTCCCTTAGTATTTATTTTTCTTTCTGCCATTTATAACTGTAAAAAAGCAATTAAATTCTTTCTGATACATAAAATTCAACCTCATGTGACAAATTGTCAAACCTTGCAGAGACGCTCGCTCGTAATCGAAACAATGACCGGCCAACAATGACAAGTTTGCTAGAGTTCTTTGTAACCCTGCTTCTGAATGGCTGTTCACTTTGGTCAGATCTCGCAAGAATGCTAGATCTAATGTCATGACATGTGGCCAAAATGGCGACGGCGCCAAAAAGGAATCGAACATTGCTCGATTTCTTTAAATCTGGAACCATCGGCACAGATGAAAATATTCAAGGATCTACCGAATCTATAGCGACATCAGTTGGCGACATCAGTTTGTAGACGCGTGAACGAAAGTACGTTTTTCAAACCGAATGGAGAACTACGCGCCCATGGCTCGATTTGAACGAAAAGGGCGAAATGATTTGTCTGTGGTGCCAAAGAACTGGAAAATCTAATACATTTTCGGACGGAAACGTAAACTTTCAAACCTCAACGTTTTAAAACTGTTTGAAGTTCTACAAGTTTGTTAAGTATAAGTAGTCTATATGTCAGGGATGTGAAATCTCCGCGGAAACGCGGAAAATCGCGATTTTTAAAGCAGTAGTCCTGGGAAAAATCATCTTCCGTGTAAAAATATAATCAAAGATTTTTAAAAAAACACGCCGAAAAACATGATCGAAAACCGGACAACCGTCGCGAATTATCCTGTTTTCGATCAGAGCTTTCAGCAGCATAGGTTTTCGGACATCAGACTTGTGCACGTGTCTTGATACTAGGTGGACAGTTTGTGTCACTCATCCGTCTTGTGTCTTGATACAAGGTGGACAGTTTGTGTCCCTCACCAGTCTTGTGTCTTGATACAAGGTGGACAGTTTGTGTCACTTGATACAAGGTGGACATTAAGTGTCACTCACCCGTCTTGCGTCTTGATACAAGGTGGATAGTTTGTGTCACTCCGCAGTCTATCACGAATACTTGCACTATGACGTGGGGTGTGGCGTCCCACAGAAATTGTAGTTACTCAGAGTCAGATGATGGCTTGTTTTTAAG